AAAACTTTGGAAAACTTGCAACTCCCGCAAACAATTCGGTACACAATATGACAAGTCACAACAGATGTAAACGCACAAAAGCCTCTATCATAATCCTACCATATAGTTCACATAAGACTTTCATGACGACTACGAACCAGTTTGGAGGAACCCAGATGGAAATTTGCATTAAAACAAGGAATAGTAAGTACAATCAGGAAATACTCAAATAATAAGCACGCATCGAGCATTGTTGTTGGACTGCTGCAGAATTTTGCTAATAAGCAAGCATTTGGAAAAAGTATACTATATTCTGACACATTTTGATATGGCAGCAAAAGGATGCTGATGAGAGAAACTCAGCAATTTTATGCACAGCATTTGTTCTCATTTTTTGGGTCAAGTCTCGGTTGCGCAAACTGCTAAAAAAATTTGCAAAACAATATACCGTATTTTTTTCTTAACTCAGTGACTCACAATATAATTATGACTTAGTGTTGCAGCAAGTTTGAGGAGATAATGCAGAAACAGCCTTATCTTTGTTATTTGTGTGCGAATGGATCCTGACAAAATATAAATTGCAGCCTTCGTAAAAAAAATTTTCGTCACACGTAGCACACACATTACTCAGATTCTCACAAAATTCATCGGAACTTCCGCAGGACAAGCCAGCAGTGGTTCCGCAGGACTTTATTAGCTATTACAAAAGTGAAAAGGTAGAAATTGGGAACTTCCGCAGGAATTCCATTCCAACTGGTTGGAAAGCGGAACTTCCACAGGACTTGTTACGCGCTGCAGCAATTTCGAAATAAGCCAGTTCTGCAGTTCGACCGTGCTTCCACAGGATTTCAAATGAACTGTCTCTTACGATGTTGTCTCGCCAACAACTAAAGTCCATTGTCGAACACCGTTGTGCGAGGGCAGTGACTGAGTCTCGCAGTCAATAGAGCAAGGATCGAATCTCGCTTGAGTGTTCTCTTTTGCTGTTGTGGTTCGCATTCTTCAGAGCTTCCGCAGCACCTTATTTGGGAACTTCCGCAGGTGGTCCGGAAGTTGCGGAAGTTCCGGTAAGTTGCCTGAGGTGGCAAATTGCGAAATTTCTAGACCATGCACCTAAGAAAACTGTGTCTGTAATAGAAAGAATAACTACTATTTTCCAATGCAGATTTAATTTTCAAAAATTTGCTGAACAGAGTTGGAACTACAGAATTCCATAGAAACACGATACAACTTTCACCTCAATTTTATACCACATGCACAAGATCAGACCTTATAAAAAAAAATTTAGCAAATCGAATAGAAGTTTTCCGAGATAAATGCACTCACCCACTGCTTGCCATAAACGTCACGAAAGCAATAAAGACAGGAGAGAATGCAATCCTCTTTAGGCATGATGCTCAAAACGAGCAGAACATAAAAACGCTCATCAAGGAATACAAAGTGGAGATCGTCAGCTTCACGAAGATGTGCCGAGGTAGAAACGGATAGGAATTCGTGACACAGGAAAATAAAAAGTTGTTCTGAGAAAATTCAGTGGTTATAAAATATCTTAAAGAAATGAACCTGTTAAGAAAACACTCTTTTTGGACAATTTAAAGCGCTAAAAATTAATGTTTATTCGTAGCAAATTAAAAGAAATCAATAACCCCCCCCCCCACCATTCTGAGATATTTGCAGAGCATAGCAGTCAAAAATGCTTGATGATCAGATGGGTCTTAGGTAAATGTTCTTCTTTTGTATGAAAAAAACACTACCAATGCATTTTAAGAGAAAGAAAAAATTAGAGAAAAAATCAAAACATTACGATAGAAAAATTTTAATTCTATGGTGGCTGATCGTACGAGTTCACCCAAAAGTGATGAAGAAAATTTGAACGAGTTTTTAAACACCCAAACCCAGAAGCACTCCAGATAAATTAAGCCAGTAGAGCTGTCAAGCGACCCTCATACGACAATATGACAAGCGGCTGTCTTCCCATTCTCTAATTTATAGTGTCGCACTTTGTTATCGAGAAAAAGCGCTTGGGTTCGAAACAATGGCGTCAAACTTCGGCAGTTTGAGTTGGCTCGAGTTTTGGTGAGAGAAAGAGAAAACTAGAAAATTGTGGTGAGAGCTTTTGAAAGGAATTTTATTCCACGTCAGTAGCCAGTAAATGATTTTTTCGCACATAAAAACTGACGTGCGGGAAATTTATGCATCAACGCTCTTACATGGTCTTTATTGCTAATAGTTAGCTGTAAAACTAGCAAAAATAGTTTACGAATGCTCTACGTTTAAGAGCAGTCTCGTTCCAGCAAGAATTGTGTTAACCATAGATTCTTTCAATCTGCATCAAAAATCTTAGAAAATAATCTTACCGAATTTTTTTGCTTGTGGTATTCTACAGAACAACTGATACCAAAAGTCTGCACAAAAATTTAGCAGCGAGCTGATTTTGAAAGAGATAGAAATTTTACAAGTCAAGCTAGTAGTTATGATGGACTTTATGATGGACTCATGAAATCTACTATGTATATGCAAGCAAGCAGGCAGACATAAGTTTAAAAATGACTGAGATAAATCATACACAATTTTTCTCTAATAAAAGCCATTACAGGGTGTCCCAAATGTGTCTCTTGTTTGATTGTCAATAACTTTTTGTCATGAAGTCTTTGATGGAGCTTTAGGTAGCATTTTGTGGAGCTGGCTCCAACTTAGATTCATAGTATAGAGCGAGTCAACGATGGCTCTTTATTGCAGTAGAATTATGGTGGGAATTTTGAGGAGGGTTCTGAGGCATGGGGGTGGACAATATCTCGCCTTAGAAAAAAACCAAGCCAAGTCTGAAAACAACTCTTACGTTAGGATGGTTAGAAGGTTGATAATTCCTAAGTATGAATTTCCCTATCTAAAGCTTCTAAAAAGGCTATGCCAGGAAAACAGTAGCAGCCGTTATTTCGATGACCTTAAAATGTGGTCACACCGTTTGGAAAGTTCAAAATCTTGTGCAAATTTGAGTATCAAGCTCAGCGTTTATGAAAACCCTATCACACACATTTTAGATTTTTCGTTAATTATCATTGTTTGATATTATCATTATTTGTTGTCAAATTATTTATTTGAAATTATTCGAAACGGCAGCTTTTCACAGCGAGGTCACATGTCGGAAGTTCCCGCCAATTCTAAAATAAAAAAGAGCTGATTGATTTTAAGTGACTCCCCCAACCCGTTAATCTAAGTTGAAGCTAGCTTTATAAATTACTACCTAAAGTCTCTCGAAAGACTTCATGACAAAAGAGTTAATGACACTCAAATACTAGGCACATTTTTTAAGACACCCTCTATAAATAGAAGCAAGTTGATCAGTATAAATCGAAGCATGCACTAATCAGAACAAACAAGACTATTGCTGCAGAAGCAAGCATTATAAATAAACGGTAACGAAAAAAACTGGACCGTGAAGCATAACATGCGGTAGCTAACGTTTGAAGAATTATTCCGGAATCTATCATAAACAATGCCCTTGCAAACAAGATACGCTGTTCCCACGACGATCCATTAGCGGCGTATTTACCGCAATGTGATGCCAAAGGTATATGTTACCTATTGAGTACGGTAAAACTGATTAGATGTTGTACACAAAGTGGTATCGCATGAAAAATTTATAATGTAAGTAAGATTTGTAGTTTTGTCCAATCCTTTTCGACTAATGAAGTCAATAAAATAGAATAATAGCGACATAGTATGCTTTTAACAATAAGCAAGAGTAATCAGTGCAGATTCTTGAGGTAAGGATCATGCTTGACCTCAAGCCAAGTTGTCATTTTTTCACAAACCAGAAAATTTTTTATTTTGATGTATAACCTTTCGTAGCCATTTATATCGTGCTGAAAAGTCAGATTATTCTCATGAATTGGATTTCCCTGTCAAATCAATAAAGCATGGATGCAATACTCGAATATAATGGGATAAGGTTGAAACGATGCCAAGTCGACGTAGGCAGTGGCATGAGAAGCTTTTCAATTTTTCTTCACGAACCGGATAAAAGGTAAGCAGCTCTTGATTTTTGTGATTTTTCTATAAGATGTGTAATTGTCAAACTTTCGGAGACTTGAGTCACAGACTACAAAAGACTCTTAAGCCGATTACATGTTGGCGCTTGCAGAAACATTATTCTATTAAGTTGTCCCGAAAGCAAAGAACTTTTTTTGAATAGATCAAGCATTTTTTTTTCTCCTGTTATTGGACTTAGGGTAACATTCGATAGACAGATCAAGCTCTACAAAACGACCATCGAGGGTTCGCCTAAGTCGCTTTCCATGTAAAGTTCAAAGCCAAAATCGAAAAAAAATTTTGTCACCTGGTAAGTAAATTTTCGCAAAGAAAAATCTTACGAGTCTCCAACTTGATTATTATACAGTAAACACATACATATTAATACTCAAATATGCCTTTACAGAAAGCGAGAGAAAAGGATAGTTCAAAAATGTCAAGTTCCGCCCTCAGCCGCTCCCAAATATGTCTTGTAAACTACAATCATTAGTAAGTATAGTCTCAGAACCTTACCCTCGTATGTACTCTTATAGTCGAGAAATAGCAAGTTTGATGTAGAAAACTCAAAAAATGAGGCATTGGCATATTCTCGGACCATCTTTTTTTCCCAGTTTTGAGCCGGAATCCACCAAAAAACAAAGACCAAGTTGGAAGTCCCAAAGAATTTCTTGAAAGGAGAACGATTTTTGGGGTAGCTGATAAATTTTTTGGTTCAAATTTTATCTGGACTACGACTTAGGTGGATCTTTGGTGGTCATTTTGTGTAGCTTGCCCTGTCCTATCGAATGGCACTCTCATTCTTCTAGGAAAGCAAAAGCATAATTTATTTGAGAATGAGATTTACTTTTGGGACAACATAATAATTTATCAGCATATGTATTGACGTGGGTAACACAAAGAATTTACTGAGAAATATGTAGAACCAAGCAAAATGAAAAATAAGATCAATTCAAGCGTTTTGACTAAAATTTACAGTACATTCAGGTTTTCAAAATAAACAAAGAAAAGAAGGCAATCGTGTTCATTGAACTGAGCTCAACAAACCCGTCAATTTGATCTCCACTGGTCGAAACAATCGAAGTCATCTATTTTTGCTCTTTCGTCATATGAAAAAGTATATTTTTCATCTGGTAATTATCCAAGTATGCAGTCCAGTCGATCTTTTCCATGTCTAAGCGAGCTGCTCAGCGCTTCTTCCTACGAGGTTTGCAAAAAATTTTCCTTTTCTAAAATTACGCAAAAATTCAAGCTTTCTAGAAAACTCATTATGAAAGAGATACCACGTTCTTCAATTCCCTCTATGGCAAATGGTCAAAGCCTACCGTAAGCTGTTTGTGGATTTTTAGCGAATACAATATTTGAATGATGTCATCTCACATTTCGATTTCTCAACTATTGTTTTTTCAAGAACTTTTTCAGTTGCGAAGTGGTTGCAGAATCATTCGCAGAAGTTCTCTTCCTTCCAAGAAATTCCTCTGCAAAAGAGATGAATACGGATTGAAAAATCAGGTTCAGATGTAGTGTACCCTTCTCACGTATTATTTGTTGATCGGTGAAACGATTTTGAAAATTGTTATTTTCAGGATAGCCATATCTTCTTCCTTGATCAGAAAGGTAGACCAATGTTCCGTCGATATGTTCGACCAAGATTTTTACCATACGAGAGAATATCAGACAAACCGTAAGCGCATGGATGTTTTATTGAATCGATTTTTGGACTGAATTTTTTTTTGAATCAATTATTTTTCCAGTCTTCCAATTTTGCCAGTGGAAGAAGTAGAACAAATATTGAAAGAGATTGAATCTGGTGCGTATAGTGCCATGACTACCACCGTGGAATGCGAGGAAGGAGAAAAACAAGGTGAATTTCCCTCGGAAGTTTCCCGAGAAAACCTCCAACATTTTAGACAAGACTTACAACCTAGAGACTAAACTGCACTGCTGGACGTCAATGCCCGAATACATTACAAGAGAAGTCCTCGCTTCAACACCTCAACTATCTTTACCAGATCAACCGATCCCAGATTCTGTGTCCTCCGAGACTGCGAATATACAGAGTCCTATCAGTGATTTTGATTTCGAAATTGTGCAATTCTAATCAAGTAGTAGGTGAGTCAGAGACGCAGACAATCCATAGCTGCTCCAACACAGCGAAGCTGTTTCACCTTTGAGCAGGTTACGCGTTATCAGCACTCAACACATATTAGTTATATGTATTTATTTATCATATCAGCTCAAGGACTGTTGGTATTGGCTTATATATTGCATATGTATTATTGTACACATGTTGTACATAGGTGATCTGTGTTTCTTACGTGTATGTAGATCTCAATATATCGATTATTATTTTGATTGTACAAGCGTAAGCTACAAATCAATAAAAAATTATATGAAGCTGTTGCGCAATTGCTGGCTTTATTGTTACCCATGGTATCTCCATGATAATCACTTTTTAAGGACAGACTCTTTTCTGCTTCAAACCAAAGATCAAATCATTTTGACCTCTGCATGTTGTTGCATCGCGAACACAAATATTTTACAGATTTCATTCCCTAAAACCAGTAACTGGATAAAGTCAAAAAGTAATTAAAAAGTACTCATACATACATATCCGACAAGACAAATTTCAAACATTTGATAAACTATACTACGGTCACGTATACCCGTTAAAGATAAATTAACTTATTTCCAAGTAAACATAATCAATAGGAAGGTCCTAACTATCAAGCCCGCGAGTTCAAGTCTGGCATCGTGACAACAGCTGGAGCCATTAGACGGGATTGTCGGTTTTCAAGATCATTTCTCATTTCCTATAATGAAATCGATGACTTACAGTATGACAAGGGACACAACATGAAGAAAACTCACTCTTAAACTTTGAATTTTCGCGTTACATATGGCAACCTCATTCTCTTGTACAGCAACAAGTGCTGCAGCCGTTTTCATTTTGATGAGCTGTAAGAAGAAAAGGAAATTCTGCAAAGTGCTAATCCAGATATGAATTTTACCTCGGCCACTAATTTGTTCTCTAACGTAAGCGATTGAGCCACAAGGTCACGCTGAAAATTAATCGAAACTAAATTATATACAAAACAGCAAGAAAAACCAAATGGAAGAAAACAGAATTTCAAATGAAATAAGTCCAAAACGACTGGAGCTAACCATTTCAGGATCGATGTCCAGATTGAGCTCAGCTTCCTTTTGTCGAGCAAGATCGGCATTATAAAACGTTCGCCACGATGTTGCTGCATCCTCTTCCTTCGTCTGAACGAATAAATTCTAATTAAACAACAAAACTTCAAAAAAAAACCCCGAGGAAAAAATCATGATACAAATCTACCCGAACTTACTTTCTTAGCTGGCGGCTTCTTATCTTCCTCCTCCGTCAAAGGAGATGGCGATACGTCTTCAGCGTGTTCGCTGCTTGCACGTTCTCTCTTCACAGGACCTGCTCGTGTAGGTGTCTCCGTGCTTTGACGATTCCTATTAGGTGTTATCCTCTCCGACGACTCTTCCACTTTATCCTTCGGCTCTTTCTTCACAGTCGTCGCCTCCGCTGGCTCAACTTTCACTTGCGTTGGAGTATTCTGCTGCTGAGATGCTTGCGCATTTCCATGTCGCTGATGGGACTGGCCACCTGGTGGAGTTCCAGACATTCGAGGTGACTTCTCTACGTGCACTCGATCTCTGGAGAAAGATGGCGCCGGATGCGAAGAGCTATGCGAATGCTGCTGGGGCGGTGGCTGAGAAGTTTGCGGCTGCTGTTGTGCTCGACTTGGTTGTACAACATGTACAGAATGTCCATCGTGATGTGGCGCTGTCGTGGTGCAAGGTGGTGGTATGGATGGAAATAGCGGTGGTGGAACTGCAATCGGTGGGTTGACGCTGTGGAGCGGTACGGGACCTGCAACAACGTGCTTGTAAATGCTAGTATAAGCATGTCATGTTGACGCCAAGTCAAAGGTCTGGTAATAAATTCCGTTACCGTTACTACCAGTGTTACCGCTATTAGATGATATTAATCAGCCTTACAGTTCACTTTTCCGTAAGCGATCTTCCCGAGTATGGTGTGTTTGTATTTTTTTTGTGTAAAATCCTAATGTGAGATATACGTAGGGCCGCATGCATTAACATCCCTGTCGAGGAGGGGATCGCAGCACAAAAGAAACTTCATATCCCTGAAGCTCCAGATATATGGTTTCACATTGTCTACTTGTCCGTAAGCATTCCTACTACTCTTCGTTATGAACACTAGTGAGCCAATAATCTAAAACTACAAGATCTGGGAACGTTCGCTTCGGGACCTGCCGCGGTTTCCCGCCATTGGAAGATTTTTGAATTGAACTAGTGATCACTACGTAATATATAACGAATTCGTTGTTTACCCATTAAGCCGCCCGATAGTTGGATCATGGCAAACCAGGAGGCCGCAGACGTAAAAATTGTGATGAAATACACTGATCTTTGGAATTGGATTGCTGCCAAGTGGCATGCGTTTTGGAACGCTGCCAAATTTCATAACGAGTGACCAAGCAGATTTTCGTAAAAGGGTCACACAGGTTTCGAAAGGCAATCATGAGTGTCGCAATGATTTTGAGAGTGGGTCGCCAGTGTCCGGGTGTTTTGTACCTGCTTTTTTTCGAGCCTGTTATCCCAGAATGTGTCTTTCAAACATGTTCTACTCCTATTAGTTGCTTTTGAAATGATGCCAAATTGCGTGAAAGCGTGACTTGAGCTAAATTCATCTATATTCTCAAATCTTCGTAAAAATGCTCTAACAACAGTCACTTTAGGATTATCTTGCTTCCGAGTGTAGACAACAGAGTGCGTGAATAACTTAGTCTCGCTGGTACTTTTAGAAGCGTTTATCTAACAACAGCCTTGCTTTTTTTTCGTGGGTATCGGTGTGTAAGCGGCACGTAGGGCAATTCCATCGGGCAGGGAACAGATTTTTGTATGTTTGGGCAGTTCTTATAATTCCTAAACGATCTTCAAGCGGCACGTAGGGCATAAACTTTCTTTCTGAGTAGTTACTCTCGGTCTGTAAGCGGCACGTAGGGCAACCCGATCGGGCAGGGAAACAGATTTTTGTATGTTTGGGCAGTTCTTATAATTCCTAAACGATCTTCAAGCGGCACGTAGGGCATAAACTTTCTTTCTGAATATTTACTGTCGGTCTGTAAGCGGCACGTAGGGCAACCCGATCGAGGAGGGAAACAGAATTTTTATGTTATGGCAGTTCTTGTGATTTTTTACCGGTCTTCAAGCGGCACGTAGGGAATAAACTTTCATTTTGAATAGTTTCTCGGTCTGTAAGCGGCACGTAGGGCAACCCGATCGGGCAGGGAAACAGATTTTTGTACGTTTGGGGCAGTTCTTATAATTCTTAAACGATCTTCAAGCGGCACGTAGGGCATAAACTTTCTATTTGACTATCGGTCTGTAAGCGGATTTTTTTTTTCAGATTTCTTATGTTTGGGGCAGTTCTTGTAATTCTTAAACGGTCTTCAAGCGGTAAGGTATGAACTTTTTTTGAATAGTTACTGTCGGTCTGTAAGCGGCACGTAGGGCAACCCGGTCGGGCAGGGAAACAGATTTTTGTACGTTTGGGGCAGTTCTTATAATTCCTGAACGGTCTTCAAGCGGTAAGGTATGAACTTTTTTTTGAACAGTTACTGTCGGTCTGTAAGCGGAACGTAGGGCAACCCGATTGGGCAGGGAAACAGATTTTTGTATGTTATGGCAGTTCTTGTTTCTTGCCGGTCTTCAAGCGGCACGTAGGGAATAAACTTTCATTTTGAATAGTTACTCTCGGTCTGTAAGCGGCACGTAGGGCAACTCGATCGGGCAGGGAAACAGATTTTTGTATGTTATGGCATTGTAATTTTTTAACGGTCTTCAAGCGGCACGTAGGGAATAAACTTTCATTTTGAATAGTTACTCTCGGTCTGTAAGCGGAACGTAGGGCAACCCGATTGGGCAGGGAAACAGATTTTTGTATGTTATGGCAGTTCTTGTAATTTTTTAACGGTCTTCAAGCGGCACATAGGGCATGAACTTTCTTTCAAATAGATAACTGGTTTGTAAACGGCACGTAGGGCAATTTGATCGGACAGGGAAAGAAATTTTTTGTACATTTATGCAGTTCTTATAATTGACGGTCTTTAGGTGGCTCAGTAGTGTGCTTTTCGGTGAAGGATCTACTTATGTAGTAAAGCTTCATATTCCTTTGGCGAAAAAATTGAAGGATTCTTTGACAAAGTTCTTAGACGACTGATTTCGTTGCTGTCGGAACTGATTCTGAGAGAAAAGTGTTTTTTATAATACACATAATTATTATGATGTATTTCTACTTCCAAAACATATGTTCTGCTACTTACTTAACGATCTTTTATGGAACTTGCTGAGAAGAACTGAAAGAGCAAATTCTCTTTGAAAGGGTAGAAAAGTGGGGGGGGGGGTTATCTGAATGTCTCTGTGTGGAGGGAAATTTGCATGAAAAGCGTGTAAACGAGATAAAAATAATTTGAGAAATGCTGAATGATTTGTGGAGATGGAGATTATCGCTTTTTCGAGCAGTTCTCCTTTTGTGGAATGCTCTTCGCAAAAATATTCTCAGGAAAGGAACAGGAAACTTATTTAGAAATATTTTTAGTCAAACCTAAGCCCTTATATGTATCTGCCCCGACCCACTTGCTAGCGACCCGTTAAATATTGAACGGGAGGGAGAAGCTGCACGAGTCGCATTTCCCAGCTTTTTGCATGATCCCCTGATGATTCCCGATCGTCTTTTCTTCAATTCATTTATCCTTCTTCAAAATTGATGAAAACGAGCCAAAGTTTCACTGGTTATCTAACCAAACAGTGCTAGTATGTTTCCGATAAAAACAAATGGTATTTGGATGTCATGAAAATCGCGATGATCCGCAGGTCGAAAATTGGGATCGAATTTGATACTTCAGTAATTCGATTGTTCTTATCAGGAACACGCTTAGCACTGTCAGGTCAGATAATCAGTACAACCTCGGAGAGTTTTCGTTAACTTTGAAGGAAGAAAATGACTATGAACGGATAGATTCAAAGCTTCAGGATATGAAGCTTTTTTCTAATCTGCGATTCCCTCCACAGCGGGGATGTCAATGCATGATGCGGCCCTTAGACTCAGCAAGACTGCTTATTGGAAATGAGGCCCAAATGATCATTTAACCAGTCACTGCTGACATTGGTGAAAACAATAATTACAGCAGTAGAAAGAGCAACGTTAACAACGGTAAGGTATGACCGAACTTCACGGCAACAAAATGTCACACGATATATAATGGTAAGGCCAACTTTGCAGATTACTAGTGACTATGGAGTTTGGAAGTTGGTACCAGCAATAGGCGCCTGTGATTATGATATAAGGAGCCCTACCCTCCTAAGAAGCACATATTTTTGCTTCAATTACTGAGTTCATTTAGAAATGCGTAGAAAGTTAGGGTTTTCCTGACGCTGTGAGCAGTTTTATTAAAAGCTTTTTTGAGAATGTCCAAATTGTTGAACAACTGCTTACGTCACAACAAAATCTTGTGTTCTTATCGAGATTTCTGCGTGAAAGCTATATACATTCTAACAAAAAATCATATTGTAACTTCTTCATCGTCTACTAGTGTACTAATGGAAGAAGTCATGTTAATCGAATTTCACATCAAACGTACCTGTTGCAGGAGGGGGTGCAGTGTACTGCATCGGAGAGAAATGAGCGTTGACCTGCGCCGTTGGTGGTATGCTTCTAAACATGATCATATCTCGACACTAGAATCAAAGCAATGAGTCAAAAAGTGACTCACGAGACATTTACTAAGGGTGGAATTAGTGGCGGTGGTATACTTTGCGTAACTCGAGGAGATGGCGCTGCAGGAGGATGTGGCGGAGGAGGAAACCTGAAACTCTTTTGAACAAGAAAAAGCGGAAAGTGTAATGAGTAGAACAACTCACGATGTATTAATCGGTGTGCTAATCGTGGCATTAACTCTGGGTGGAACAGGATACGGTATATTAGGCGGTGGTTGAAATTGATTATATGGAGGAAATGGAGGTGGAGGTGCTGAAGATATGAACAATTCAGTACACACAAAATTGAAATGAAAACTGACCATTCATCGGGGGAACCGCAAATCCCGGAGGAGCAAATGGAGGAGGAAACGCGAATGGCGGTGGCGTCATGAACATTGGTGGTGGGGGAACGACAGCATGTTGCTGTTGGACCTAAAAGTACGTCTGAGACTTGCACACAGTCGATAGTAACAGGTAGGGAGAGCTATATTTATCGTCTATCGTCGCATATTATGTTCAATGACAAGAGCAGCGGAAAGCTGTTCAAACATGAACTAATTTTACAACTGAAATCAAGCTTGGAACATCGTCATGCGATTTAGAAGTACGCAAAACAAAGCAGTTCGAGCAGAGTTTCTATGTTGGAAAATTTGAGGAAAATGACAAAACCGTTGTCACACTATGCATGAACGATAGAAGCTGCTCCACTACCTCACTCCTATTTGAAGAGTAAGATTCTGCAATAACTACGAGTGAGGAGGTCAAGCAATATGCTAATTATGAAAATTAACTTACAGTAAGTCAAGAGTAAATTCAAATCACAATCGTTGGAATTTGGGAGCGAAGCTATTTGACGTGCTGAACACAGATAACATATTCAGTCTTTGTAGAAAGCCCTTATTCAGCGCTTATGGTATGCCTATTAAAGGTCCTACCGTAACATCTTGAGGGTTACTGTAACGAATGGATAGGCCATCACTTTCAGAACCGCAAGGACAGATCGTCAAAGAGCTCCAAGATTTCTTTTTCGTGCACCCAGAATGACCTTACAGCGCGGTTTGTGCGGAATGAGTATCATAATAGTAATAAATATGTCACACCTTACCAACAAGCAAGTAGAAGTCGAAGTGGCAAATCCAAACAAACTGCATACCTTTGGGTGAAGCACAGAACGCTGACTTTGATTCTGTCTTCCTTATCAGCTAAGCATTTTTGTGAACTAAGCTATGAGCCATTCAAGCCATTATACTGCTAGGAAATCGTTTGTGCAAAGTTCAAATTTGGCCGTACAGAGCCATGTTTGGCTGAATGCTGGACCAAAAAATGCAGAGATTATAGGTTATTCTTAAAATCGTGAAAACGGGTTTGATTGCAGTCTTTGCGCACATAGGTGCATGAAACTCCAACGCAAAAAGGCATCACCTCAGCGCTCAGCTCAGTCACTTCCAGTATCAGAATACTTTCATATGTAAGCAAAAAAACCTTTCGAGTAGGGAGAAAAACCAAGAAAATGCGGTTGCTGGAAGTGCTTACGTCCGCGCGCGGTCACGCTATTATCACGATTTTCTAAATGCCCTACACTTATATAGCCCATACCTAAAGCTGAGCGAAAAGAGGACAATAACATCCAATTTCGCAGTTCTTATGTATGATCTTCCCACGATAAAACTGCTTGTAACTCCGTCTTAGTTAGATGCATTTAGCAGATATGGAAGAGATTCGAAGTCAGCGTTCTGTGTTGCATTCAGTGGTATGCGACTTGTCTGGATTGGCCACTTCGTCTTGGCCATTCACTTGTAAGCACAGTGTGGGCATAACTGAGGTTTAATTTCAGTGAGGGGTAGGAGCAAAACCAAAAGTTAAATCAACATATTTTTCTCTACAAGGAAATTCCCACCATGATAACAAAAAGTTGTGTTTTACCTGCTGCTGCAGCCGCTCTTGTTCAGCAGCCAATCGTTCTTGTTCGGCTAATCGTTGCTCGTATTCTCTCCACTCTTTTGGTTTTTCCCATTGTGACACCTCAAACCAACTTTTTATATACAAAGAAAGAAAACAAAAAAGTCATTTTCCATTCTGACCACCAGAATCATGTTGAAAAGTTTGAAACAAGCATGCTTTTCTTTCGGCAATCAAGATGCAGAAAAAATTTTCTGTCTAGACATTGATAAGAAGAGCCACTCACCTCCGTATCACGATTATAAAAATATTTTCTTCCCGAAGAACTTGTTTGCTCTGACCATGATCCAAATTCTTTTATTTCCTTCTGAAGTACTTTCATTATGTGTTAGACCGAAGCAAAATCAACAAACTACGAAACTCACCACCATGACGAGCCCAGCTTTTCAATGTTCAACTGCCTCTTCGCTTATGTCACACAAAATAGCCAGCACAAGATAACATCAATCAATTAACACAAAGTCAAAAATGATGAACAAGATGCAAAACTTTCTACAGTTAATTTTTGCTTTTCGTCAAGCAGCATGTGTATTGTTCGATTGCACATAATGCCACACTTACGCGTCAGTTCGGAGAGAGGTTCATTTTTTGGGGAATATAAAAGTGCATTGCTATTTTCTTCCTGCACGATGCATCAACGCACATGTGTTTTTACCTGCAAGAAGGTTGAAGCTAGAAAAGTGAAGATTCGAATCTTGCTTGTCACAGCTTGAAAATGTGTGCTGAAAGCGCCAATCGCAGGTTCAAACAGTTTGCAGAAAGGGAAAAATTCGTCTATAATTCTGAGATAAACATTATTATAATATAAGTTGTTTAACATTCCTGAGATTCTAAATCTTGACACATGCGATACAGAAATCGAGGGAGCATAGTGGCGCAATGCGTGTGGTCGCGAACGTGGCTAGCGTTGTGGGAAGTACGGATCCAGTCTATCGCTGTGCTTATGATGAGTTCTAAACTGAGCTCCAAATTCATATTGACGACAAAATAGCTGACTGAAGCACGTTTTATATTTTCTCTGCTATATGTCAATAATTCACCTTATCGTTTATGTAGTTCAATATACTACTACGCTTCGACTTTTCTATTTGGCTAGGGTTCTTGAACAGTTTTCTAAATTTTATAAAATCAAATGAATTGCTTCAGATACCAACTAATCCACACTAAACTTCGGTTATATGCTCAGTATTAGGTCATCACAAGCAAATCATTGTCGAAATTCGCGGGATTCGAACCCGCGACGTTTCCCACAGGGGTCGCGCGCACAGCCATTGCACCATATCTCCTTCACGTGGCTCCCTTCATTTGCTTCCTATATGCGTAAAAAAGTGTATTATCCCAGACACTTGATCATTTTGTACTTTTGATTTCCCTTCTGATCGAGCAACATGTAGAAACCTCTACTTTGCCGACAAAGCTCAAGATTAACGCAACCAAAATATCCATTTTAAAACTTTCGCCCACTACCGTACTCGAAGGCTGACTGGTCTGCTACAAACGAGTACGATTCAAATCAAAAATTTAGAGCCTCATTTCTTGGACCTGCCTTCAGTACAATGTGAGTTTAGAAGCACACTCTTGAGAGATAGCATTGAAAATTGTGGAAGTTGCACTATAAAAACTATCGATTATCTATAAAATTTATCAACAACGTATCATAAAACATCTGACATAAACATACAAACAACGTGAAAGAACCTAATGTGATAATATGTTAGTGCTAACCTAGGAATTATGAGCAAATACGAACAACTTCATCCTAAAATCTAGCTGATCAAATCACTGGCAGTATTAATATGATTTAGAAGATCTTTCCACAACGTTCATCAACGGCTTTACGACTTCTCGCTCCAATAATCTCTTCCACGCCAAACTCTCCACGAATTTGACGGATCTACAAAATGTAAACTTCGCGGAAGTAAGAATACACTGGGTGAAAGCTTACAGTGTTCCGAACTATCCTGGCTTCTAAAGTGCCTTCGGGAATCGTTTTTGCTCGCTTCTCATTCTCTGCCAAACATCTCTCAATCAGATCGAATCTCTCCTTTTGTAACTCAGCCAGCTGCAAAAATACACATTATACCATAGAGAAGATGACGATTTAAATCTTCCAACGCACTTGCTTGCCAACATTTTCGCACGTTTGTCGAGCATTAACAGGATGGAACGACTGCGTTGGTAAAGCGTCGTTCAGAGCAATGATCACTGAATCATCAGCCTAAAATTTCTCACAAGGGAAGGATACTCGGTCGAAGTGGCCATTTGGAATGAGCTGTATATTAGGAAACCGTCCTCCGTAAGGCAAACTCAAAACTACTTTCGCTAGGTGCCGAGCGGTTTTGTGGGGGGAGTTACAAAGCCATTTTCCTCCGGCGCAGCCAGCGCACCCAGTGATGAGCGAGGCGCTAGAATAGCGCACCGGTGAGGCAGTGGCGCAGTGGCAACGCAGCGGACTACGAAGCAGATGGTCGAGGGTTCGAGTCCTGTTGCTGCTACCTTTTTTTGCAGTTCTGTAAAAAGTTTATTGGGTGACAGCAAACGAGAAATACTATTTCTAGGCAGTCGAAACAAGCTAGTTACTGCAAAAAAGCCACTATTTCTGCAATAAGCTATAATCTTCTAAAATATGTAAATCTGTGGAGGTTATGATGTCACAACATGGGATTCAAGTGATATATTAACATGTAAATACAATCACAAAATGCTCAAAGTAGAAGAGCTTCTCGCAGCGCGCGCATCGGATAGAATAAAACGATGACAATCAGCAGCTTCACAATTGCCTATCAAAGTCGGTGAAAAACAGTACCGAGTAGGAGAATCGAATTCGCCGGGGTGGTTGTCAATGTATCCGGCTGCATCCATGGGTATGAAAGCAAATTTTTGAATCGAGGCGAGCAAAATTGTGGGTAAATGAGCGATAAGATCTTAAGGATGGAATCACTATGATGCAAGGTAAAGTTCAGATCAAGAGCCAATAAATGGGACGTGAATCGATTGCAATTTTGCAAGTGCGCGCGTTGCGAGAAGCTCTTCTGCTTTGAGCATTTTGTGATTGTATTCCATACATGTTAATATATCATTTGAACCCATTGTTGTGACATCATAACCTCCACAGATTTACATACTGTAAAAGATTATGGCTTATTGTAGAAATAGTGACTTTTTTGCAGTAAATAGCTTGTTTGAACTGCCTAGAACTAGTATTTCTCGTTTGCTGTCACCCAATAGACTTTTTACAGAACTGCAAAACAAAGTAGCAGCAACAGCACTCGAACCCTCGACCATCTGCTTCGTAGTCCGCTGCGTTGCCACTGCGCCACTGTCACACTGGTGCACTATTTTAGCGCCTCGCTCATCACTGGGTGCGCTGGCTGCGCCGGAGGAAAATGGCTTTGTAACTCCCCCCACAAAACCGCTCGGCACCTAGCGAAAGTAGTTTTGAGTTTGCTTTACGGAGGACGGTTTCCTAATATACAGCTCATTCCAAATGGCCACTTCGACCGAGTATCCTTCCCTTGTCAGCTGCCAAGCAGAGGTGGATTTTTTTGTCCCAAATGTTGCATTGCAACTTCCACTCAGTCGCAAAAAGTACTACAGAGCAATTACTAGGTTGGTGCAGAAATAATGTCCGTAGTTTATACCAAGATATTAGCAAGCATTGGAGCTCCATGTGGGACCTCATTCGATAGAGCAGGGATAAGGTGAATATCAGAAATCATCCCAGTGGCAATCCACGTCAACTTAGCTAAAATCTTGAATCATTCGTCAAGACAGGAAAAGAGCTTTGTGCTGAGAGAGCCTACGAGCTTCCCACTTGCTCATCATAAATAGGCACATATAGTATTCATTAATGCATTTGATAGATTTTTTCGTGACCCAAAATCAAAAAACTAACAGAATAATCATTTAGAATTTTCTAGGCTAGAATTGACTCGAAAACCAAAGCACATACGAGACTGTAACTTTATAGTCATGCTTTCAAAGGTGGCAGTACACAGTACCTATCGAAACTAACATTGCTGGGGATGTAATTCTTTCGCTTAATGCTTTCTCTCAGATTCTAATCGGAGAAAATTACAGCAAGTATATACATAAATTTCTACTATACTTATGTGTCTACCATGTGGTGACTAAACTAACTACGAAGCTCGTAGGATTTATCTGGGTGGAAATTCAATTTTTCGCCCGCTGCTTAAGAATTTCAAGGTAAACTTCACACATCAACGATTTGGGTAAACCTCTGGCGTAATCTTGTGAAGCTTGCTTCGCTCTATCAGAGAACATCACGCATGCATTTTTTGTATTTACCCTGTTTCAACAGGATTGGCGGCTAGAAGGCGGGGCTCCAAAGACTAATCAAGGCTAGAGAATGATCGGAGAGCACGTTTGCGAGAGACGTTACGCGAGCGAGCGATCGCCTTCCAGCCGCCAATTTGTTAAATCAAATGGTACATGCTCTGTCACATGAGCTATGAACATATTTTGCACCGATCTATCTAATAGTTAAGATGTACCCTTTAACATCTGCTGCAAAAATTACCTTTCTCAGCGTTTCCAACCTCGTCATAAAAGCAGCCAAGTCTGTGCAGTCCAAATGCGCTGACGGATTGGACATTCAGATCAGGACAATTCTGGCTAATCTTGAAAAAAAAATGCAATTTCTACATTATTTTAGCACTAGCTAATCAGCTTTTACAAATACAGTCGAGTAGATTTAGCGGTAAATATAGTGTGCTTGCACAGAAGGTGAAATGCGGTAAAATTGGCGCGTGAAGAAATAGCTTCGACTGTGACGCCGGCCAATTGCGCGCGCAAAATACCCGCAGTAGTGGCGTGGCTACTTGTTCACGCGCAAATTTCACCGCATTTCACCTTCTGTGCAAGCACACTATATTTACCGCTAAATCTACTCGACTGTAGCTGCTTAAGAAAAGCAAAGAAGCATACAACATTAAGAGAAATGCAAACTAGTCACCGGTACGCTTGCTACTGCTTGTTAATGCTTTCTATACAACTTTTTTCAGCAACTGATCGTAATCTTACGTTTCTAGACTACTATTGATCGAAAGACATCTTGGATCGTAAACCCAGCGCTCAGGACTTCTGAGATTTGAACAAACTTTATGCAGAATACTAAAATAGTAAATCAGAAAAGTAACAAGCAAGAAGTGCTTCTATTTATATTTATACAGAGTGCGAAATTGCAAAGATGAGGCATTACCGAGATTGAGAATAACTTCCAGTGTAATGTTAAGAGATCGGATACACAGTAAGGTAAAGGATACTAATTCTTGACTGTTAAGTAACGAATTCTTTCTCCAGTTCTGACAATAACTTCCTTCTTGGCAAGTTCATTCAGTGCTTCGTCGAAGATATCACGGTTTAGCGTCTGAACGAGAACGAAGATTAATATTAGTAGCATTCAAAATAAGCTGTTAGAAACCTTATCTGCCTGTCTCAGTGTCATGAAAAGATTCTTAGCCGAGACGTTAACACCTTTAGTGCTGTCGAGATGGCTAGCTATAGCCTCAGCAACCTAGAAAATGAGAATTCATGCAAGAATTAGCACTCAGCAGGGATACTCACCTGCTGCACCATTTTCCTGCTCGTGGAGCTCATTCCAGCAGCAAGAATGTTCACATCAACTTTACCAGTCACCGGGTCAACTGCCGACTGTTTCAGAGCTTCACGGTATAGACTAAATATGATGCATGTTTTCAAACGTAGGCAAGGAACTCTTTAGTCACTTACTTGTAGGCAAACTCCACATCGTTGATCGTCACATTTTCTGAAAGGCGAATCTTGGCATGGGCTTCTGATAGTCGGATTAGTGATTCCAGTTGTCGCGGGTAAGCAGAGATTTGACCATGTTGTGCTCCAGCCTAGAAAATTACTTCATGAGACGGAAGATAAAGTTACGAGATTGACAAAATGACGGACTCACCTTTCTCATGAAGAGATACTTGTCAATTATAAACTGCGAGGATTCATCGGTGAGTTTCGGATGGATATTAGCCTTAGCGTAAGCTGAAACCATAATTTTACGCCAATGAATTTAACAATCAGATTATGATTGATCGACTTACCGATATAATCTCTCAAGAGAGCTTTGTCGAGCTGTTCGGCTTGTGCCTCAGTCTTATCTTTGTAGTACAGCGATACTAAGTGATTTGCAAGACGCCTGTCGTAAGCCTCATCTTGAGGATCAACCATCAAGAAAATCAGATCAAATCTGAATTTTAAGTTCACATTGAAAGCTCTAAAATTAATTTCAAATGAACTACCTAGACAAGAGCGTATGAGGCAGCTGTATATTGTCAACAATGGTCTTATCTCTATTCCACTTCGAATCCACGGGATTTGCAGCAGCCAAGATAGATGCGCGTGCATTCAGCTGACAAATGATGCCTGCCTTGGCGATGGACAAAGTTTGTTGCTCCATGACCTAATCAACGTAGATGCAAAACAGATTCCGCCAAGCAAATGAGTCGACCAACTTCATGCAAAACACTTCTGGTCGATTCGTTCATTTTGTCGAACTCATCAATGCAGCAGACTCCGTTGTCAGACAGTACCAACGCACCAGTTTGTAAAACCATTTGATGCGTATCAGCATCGCGAGATATCGAGGCTGTCAATCCCACGGCTGACGAACCCTGAACAATGAAAAAATTGATACTTCAAATCTCATAGGCTGATGTTGTACCTTTCCACTGGTGTACTGACTCCTAGGCAATAGGTGATACACGTACTGCAAGAGCTGAGACTTGGACGTACCTGGATCTCCACACAAAAGGATATTGATCTAAAGCATGTAAAGTCTCGGTAGACTTATTCACCAAATGAAGCTATGATCTGTCCTCTTGAGTAAACGACTTACCTCACTCCTCAGCTTTGTTCTATGCGTATTCTCATCGTCCTTTGTGGTACCTCCAAAGAGCAGACAGAGAATGCCTTTCTTGACATCGGAATGCTCGTAGATCGAAGGAGCTGAAAAAACAGTGCAACAGCTGAAGGAGAATTAAATATAATGATCTTACCAATGGCATGACTAAGAGCCTCCGTGATATCGTCGCGTTTGGAAAGGTTGCGAATCTGCTCAATACGTTCATCCGTCAAAGTCTCACTAAAAGTGAAAATGAGTGGTGTGAAACAACTGACCAGACAAAAATTTGAAAACTACATAGATACGCCATCTTTAGCTCACACGTCAAACACATCAAATGCTATCGTACCCATTATCTTGGTGCAAACGTGAAGCGTCGGTCTTTCTGAAGTGTAGAGCATCTACGTTAGTACGATAAACGGCTTGCAGGTTTCTTTGACGAGGATTAACCTGAAGATACACACGTGATGTGATGCGCTCAGTTTATGCGTGGTTTTCCTCACCTTTGTTGCTTGCACTCGGAAGATACCGGTTAGTGTGACACGATCTCCTGGTTGTACAGACTCTACCAAATGACCGTGAGCAAATACGGTGACAGTGTGAGGGGTCTGGCCAGAAGGCATGTCGTCTAAAAGTGATCACAGATAGCAAAGACGACACAGATGTAAAAAGCAGGATGCCTCACAATTTTATTTTGAAAAAGATATTCAAATAACCTGGCGATTCCTGCATTTTGATGATCTGCTTGTCCAAGAATATTGAGCGGTTGTGTATGAGTTGGAAACACATTGTGTTTGAGCAGTTAGTACAAACAGTAGGCTCTTCAATCCTGGAATAAGCCAACATTTACGCCTCAAAAGTCAGCAATTTACAAAAAACAAACCTTCCACGATCCACTTCACTTTCCACGCAGAACTTACAAATTGAGCACTGGAAGAATCCCATGCGCATTTCGGGAATTAGCGATGACGTGCGTGTGACCATTCCAGTGATGGTGATGAGTTGATCGATATCTAAGACGGAAATAATAACGAAGGATTGGTGAGAAAATGCAAACGTACCACATGGGTTCAAACTACGCATGTTCCTAGTCTTTTCCGCATTGAAAGGACGTAGCTCGATAGGTGTGGCCAAGGAGCGATTGTATTTCTCTTGATAAATTTCGTTCACTGTCATATCAAGGTACGGAATCACGTCCTAAAGCCAGTGATACAGTTAAAATGCTTTTCTCTAGAAAGAAATAGAGGGAACAGAGCTACTGACCGCTGGATAAGCGACGATCTTCCTGTAGAGTGGTTCAGAATACGCCTTCACATGCGCAAGATTAAGATTCATGAATGGACAATCTGTCTGGTCAATTTCGAACAAGCGTTCCATGTAGTAAGGAATAGATGTGTCGACTGCTTGACGCTAAAAACAATGTTTTTACTCAATGTCGTCTATGCAGATTCTTACCGTAGAAGGCAACATCAGCATATTCTCGTCCTCATCCAAAGATGAGACTTTAAATTCGGTGATAAAAGCACGGAAAGCTCTGAAATATCAGTCAATCAGAGATAGGAGACGCTTCAAATATACTGAAGTATACCTTTGCACATCGACTACACAAATTCTCGTTCCCCAGATGTACATGCGAGGCTGGCTGTTGTCGTCAGCCAGATCATCTTCGAGACCTTGGATACGCACGGTTCTGAACAATTTTTTGAACACCCTGTCGATAAACTGAGTATATAAAGCTATCCCAAATTTTCACCTATGATGACTTGGGGCCGTTCCCAAATCGGCACGTGCATGACCACGACGTGACGATAAAGCTGTAGACCCTTGCGATGACAAACCGAGTTCAGATCCATAACGAAGCGATGAAGTACCTTCAAAGAAATATTCGAAGAAAAAAACAATTTGCTGGAAAATTGCTCAAATTAAAAATGAACAAAGAACTGAAGGCATTACGTACAAGGTCAAAATCAAGTAGTATATTACTCTGACATTCGTTTCGGACGAGCCGCGCGAAATTTGCGTACGAGCGGACTCCTCAATGGCCGTTCGCCCGCTAAATGCGCTCGAGTGATACGCGAATTTCGCGCCGCTGGTACGCTGTCACTTCGGCGCCGCTGGTACGGTAATTTCGTGCTTAGATCGCTAATATGATAATTTTGTGTTGAGGCCATCGATATGGCAGTTCCGGAAATCACGTCCGGCTACAAAATTGAGCAACACAGAGGTGTTATCGAAGATTGTCCATGGGACCACCTCCCCACTACGTCCTTGTGTAAGTATTTGACACATGCAAGTCAATTAGCACTGAGGGCAAAGTAACCACTGCGTCGTACCTTACGCAAGTATCCTTTACGCTTATAACGTGTGAAAATTACGCTATAGTTTTTGTGCACTTAACACGTTTCGGACCGGTGCTGCACATGGTGCAGCACGCTGCTTTGAAGGATCATTTTGACGTTCACAGGAGGTTTTCTTTTAGTCCAAAGTTATCAGGTCAAAGCCCTAAGCTCCTACTTTCCAAATAGTTCTGTAGAACTGTACCGCCATTGTTTTTTCAGGAGATATGAGGAGAAATCGAACAACAGTTGCAACAAAGTGCGGCAACGCGAACGACGCGTGCGACGTCGCAAGTTTTCTTTGCTTCGATTTCAAAGGGAAAAGCTGTAGTTTCAATAATGATATGTACCGTGTACAACATAGATACTTTTGAACACTATTTGAAACTGAGTTCTTACTCCTATCTTCCAAGAAATCGCCAAAAGCACTCTCAAGCGACAAAATTCAAACACTTCGAATTCACTCAAAACTTTGGGTATGGAGCTTATCCGACATGCTGATTACAGATGTAGCACACAGTCCACAAAATAAGGTTTCTTTGTTGGCTAACGGCTGAAAGTACACTCTTTTTCGCCGCGCGCGATTTCGCGGTCCGAAACGTGTTAAAAATGTGAAAATTATAACCAAATGCATATATAATGATCGCGCACAAATTCGAACGTCTTTTTTTGACTATGGTAGCCGTGAGCACTGGACCTGCCCGAAAAGCTGCAGAAGCTTAAATTAGTGGTACGTGCTTCGTACGTCTGAAGGCACGCGGCCGGTACTGCTTGAGCAGATAGGCAATTTACGAATAATAAACGAATAATACTTCAATAGGCTCAAAGCGATGTAAGCATATAGTAATAACTGCAACGAAAACGTAGAAAAGTGGGCGTCAAAGTGGGCGCCTACAGAATTCTTTCGGCGCAAGAAAACATAATGGACTATGTGATAAATAAAAACTTGAATTGAAAAGGTATGACTTCTATTATTCTATTATGGTACGCCGCTCCTACGGTTGAAGACGCGCGGCCGGTCTTGCTTGTCAATTGTCGCGCCGCTCGTACTGATACACTCCGAAATGCGCGCCGCTCGTACTGATACACTCCGAAATGCGCGCCGCTCGTACTCAAATCCGACTGTGTCGCGCCGCTCAGACGCTCGACAGGCGCGGGTCGTAGGAATCGCTTTTTTTGCGCGCCGTTCGTCCGAAACGAATGTCAGAGTACAATGTGTGGTGGCTGCCGTGGGAAGTTCTGCAGTAATAGAAAAAAATGCACGTAAAGCTTTTTGCTCGGCAAAAGGGCACGTCATCTAGCGATTGGAGCGCATTATGGCATGGCGGGAAGCTCAGATTTATGAATACGAAAGGAGTTTAAAAATGGATCGGACTACAAGTTCTGAATACTGTAACATTCTAGCAGAATTAACTCGCTTGAATTCAAAATTACAAAATAAAGATTAGAATAGTGAGATTGAGGTCTAAAACATTCAGAAAGCTCTCCTAAAATTATCGAATTAACCAAAAATATAAAGTTAGAGCAGTTTTCTTTTCTTTTTTCTTGCAAAGAAACGAACCACTGCGCACAGACGCCAAATCTGCATCTCCTCGGGGAGATGTGGCTTCACTTGCTATGGGAGCTTCGCTCGGTGGAAGCGAACGCAGATCCGGCGAACTGCTTCGAGCGCTGGGAGGTGCTTCGGCTATAATGAAAGTTTTGAATCCATGTTACTCAGACAAAAGCGGTGAAGAAATTTAACTCACATCTAGCAGAACGCGCACTGCTTTGTTGTGATGCAGTACGTCTAGATGGGGTTCGGCGACCAGTGCTCGACATTCTGAAGTGAAGTCACTAAAAAGTCCAATAAAAGCAAAATTGTTGGCAATTTTAGAACACTCTACAAAGCTCTTCAAAAGATGTATTATCATAACGATAAACTCTTAGAATGCAAAAAGAAGAGCCCCCAAAAAGGAGACAAGTTCAATTCCACGATCCGATGTTGCATTTCTACGACGAGTTCAGGATGTTAAACAATGTAAACAGATCATAAAAGACCTCATTAATGGGAACGCATGATACATCGATCTTGCGAAAAACGTTTTGAGCTGAAATTTTTCCCGCACCATTTCGAATCTCCCGCGTGGTACGCAATTCGCCTATCGCGCATATCGTAACCCAAAATCCGCCGCCGGTTGGCACCTCGATAAGTACTCAGGGACCCGTCATACTTCGCCGAAAAAAGCCCAAAAGCGCCGAGAAAAGCCCAAAAAAGCCCGAAAAAGCCCAAAAAGGCCCAAAAGCGCCCAAAGAAGCCCGAAAAAGCCCAAAAAAGCCCGAAAGCGCCAGAAAGAGCCGGAATGTAGAAACGAACTTTTGGTAGAATTCTGACATTATCTTATCATGCGGACGACAGAAAATGACAAAAAGGCTCGATTGCGAAGTCAACACGCATGTCTTAGCGCCAAAACGTGCGAGAAGTGTTCCGGCTCTTTCTGGCGCTTTTGGGCTTTTTTAGGCTTTTTCGGGCTTTTTTGGGCTTTTTCAGGCTTCTTTGGGCTTTCTCGGCGAAGTATGACGGGTCCCTCAGCGTTTTCCTCGTAATTTTTCGTGGCTTTCATAGGAAAAATTCGTGTGTCCATCTGTTCTCATAGATCTGATGCTTTTCAACTTTTCCGCAAAGAACCATATCCCAAAAGAGCATTTAGTCACAATTTTTACTTCTTCCAAAACTTTTAGCTCAAGATTAGAGTACTATTGGCACACTACTGATAGTAGCTATACGAGCATAGAAATGAAATTCAAGCGAAAGAAGGTTTTCCCACACATCTCGACAGTCTGAACTTTATTTCTCAATCAGAAATGAGTTTTCTTAAGCCCACGTCATTGTCTTGCTTATTCGGTACTCCTAACTCGCCATCGAACTTACTTTGTATTATCTAATTCCAAACACATAAAAGAAAGGAATGACATTTTATATGAAATACTTCCCATAACAACGGATACAAAATAGAGATGATCAGCGAATGAAAAAATTGCTCAGAAAATCATTATAATTCGGCTGAAAAGATGCTGACGACAGAGAAAGTGGATGCTATCGAAGAAAAAACAAACAACAAACAACAGCGAAACCGATAAACGAGGCAACAATGCCGTTTTGACCGGCACAAACCCATGGAAAACATTCTAAACATCTTTCTTTACGAAGGATAAACAAGCAAGGAATAAGTTATTAGCTAGCCATGACCTTCTGCAGATGTTATAGGAGTCAAATAGAAAATGAATGCATAGAAATGTGTCACTCATCGGAGGAAAAAAAACTCTGGTACACGGTTAGATCAGTCATGAAGAGTACCATGCAGACTTGATTTTGCTTCGTAGCTACCTGACAACCAACCCCGTTAGTCAATGGTAGGGTTTCGACAATCAAAGACCGTTTAGCGCTCTGGTTTGTACGGTTCAATTGTCATTCCTCTTCGAATCGTACCCCAACCAATCAGACGCCAGTGCTTCTCGATACGACGGGATAGAGCAATCTTTTCGCCAATCTGCAAATAAGAGAATTCCTAGAGAGTCTTTTTACAGCAATATCGAAGATGGACAAACGGAAGAAAACTGTTTCTTTAACACATTCACGACCTTACAACCCTAAGGGATCGGCCATACTATTCCTGCTATTCCTACGACTCCTGCGATTCCTGTGAGTCCCGCACAGTTTATACGCCGCTTAAATGAGCGCGTGTTGCGTGTTACGTGTTGTTTTACGCAACACGCGCTCATTTAAGCGGCGTCTAAATTGTGCGGGACTCACAGGACTCGCAGGAATCGCAGGAGTCGTAGGAATAGCAGGAGTAGTATGGCCGATCCCTAAGACCCCTGGGTCATATGCTTTTTTGCAAAGTCTTGATTTTGCAAGAGAGAAAACTTTCTGAGCAAGTTGGGCAAGGATTTGTATAGATCTAATGCTTTCTAAAAAATTGACATTTTAGACCATAGGACCTATTAGGACCATAGGGCTGGGTAGTGATCATGATAACGCGAAATTTCGTCAGGTCCAAAATGGCAGCTATCAGAAAATTGTTGGTTTGAATGTGTTACTAATGAGCAAATAAGAAGAACCGACTACCTCTGTGCAGATTGGATCAGTCAGTGCTATCTTTGCCGCTTCCCCTTTGACTGCGATAACTCTGCATCCAGTAGACAGTGATCCAATATTTACCATGAGCACTTCACCTTTAGCTAGTTTTTGCACCTAAAAACCCCACAGCGTTTGTGAAGAACTAATTTCAACGTTCGCAGCTTACCTTAGCAGCTTTTTTATTTGCTTCAGTACGTACACCAAGAAGCCGTCGTAGCAAGAAGAAATTGATTTCGATTTCGGTGAAGATGTCGGGCAGAGTACCTACGGCTCCAAGAATGTGACCTACCAATCGGTCACCACGACAAAGCGTGGGATCAATCTTGGTACCAACACCTATCAACCCTACAAAAAATTAGTGGTAAAAACCAAGTCAAAAAGATTTGAAGTACACAAAAAAAAACTATTACATACCTCCTGGGACAGCGTATTCTAGATGGTTTTGCTCAGCAAATAATGATACAATCTTAGAAAAGATTGGACGACATTGAACTTTGCCGTCACCCGACTTGGATACAATTCCAGGACGGACTTCAATTTCTTGACCAACACGCAATATACCTGGAAAGAAATTTCATTCAAAAAACAATACCAAGTCGAGACATGGGATTACTGGAAAAACATCAAGATTTGAGGACGAACTGTTATAATGACTCCAAACTTGCCTCTAAGTATAGAGCCACCAGCTACACCACCCTTCAAGTTCTCGACTTCTGACCCAGGCTTATTGACATCAAACGATCGAATAACAATCAAGCGAGCCGGTGAGGTAAAATCTCGTGGAGGAACTGGCACTTTCTTGCATAAATATTCGCACACCAACTGAAAGCAAAAATTGACTCTACTTTCGTATTTTTGTCAATTCATGACTTACGTCAACATTATATTTGAGCTGTGCAGAAATCGGTATGACCGGAGCCTTATCGGCTACTGTACCTTGCACAAACGACTTTATTTGTTCATATTGCTCTCGTGCTTGAGATTCTTTGATGATATCCACCTGAAGAAAATGAACTTCTTGGCTAGGAACTTCTGGAAACAAATAACAAAAAATACCTTATTTTGAAGAATCAGTAGATGCTGAAGTTGCATGATTTCTACAGCGGCAAGATGTTCTGATGTTTGCGGTTGCGGACATGGCTCATTTCCTATACATGTCTGTGAGAAATCGTACCGGAAAGTAACAATAGTACCTGCAACTAAAAGGAACGCTGCGTCCATGACTGCTGCTCCGTTAAGCATAGTAGCCATAAGAATATCGTGACCAGGGCAGTCGACGAAGGATACGTGACGAACGCAGGTAAATTGTCCACCGCATCCTGGTCTTTCACAGGGAAACCGATCAGGAGTGGATGAGCCGGCCGACCTGTTACAGAGCTTGTCCAATTTCACTTCGAATAACTAAGATGATTGTAGAATTTTTCTAGAAAACGAAAAGTCTTGCATTTTTTTCAGGAACACAGCTGCAGCCATGTCCCTTTTTCTCAAAATTTCGGGGTTATAAGTCCTTAAAAATTTTGGAATGCATCTCAAAGATTTTTCGGAACGAGTGGCTCTCAGCACGCACACTTCATCGAAAAAATTTTCGCTCCCTCTTCTCAGGTTTCTCGGAACGCAACTGATACACTGATAACTGTGAACATATCTGCCTTCTACTGTACTACGAGGACTACACGGCTCTACTCTATGGAATTAAGAAGCAGAAACTTTCCAAAATCCATGTTTTCTCAATAAGTACTCTTCAAATCATTTCAAGATTAGTACGATTAGTAAACTGACGTCAACATCGCAGCAATATCTACAGCAAGATATGACAACGTTTGGAGAAGCAGAAAAGTTTAGAAGATAGAATAAAAACCGGTCGATAAAGTAAGTAAAGGAAGAGAAGTACGAGTTTTTGTGCAAACTCACCTATAACAACCTGGGCGCGGACAGTCTATGTTGGAACAACGATAAATCTTTGCATTTGCATATCCCAACTTGATCGTAATGTTTCTTTCCAGCTCGTTCTTGAATTTGACAGTATGCACTCCAGAAATAGCTTTTACCAAAGTTGACTTTCCATGAGCTACATGACCGATTGTACCAATGTTGATGGTGGCTTGCCGAGATATGACCTTGAAATTGCATTATGGAAAGGAGGATTACGGATCACAGGTAAACATACTTCTTCCGTTAGAGGAGTGAGATTTTCAGCACCAATCTTATCGAGGTCTTGTTTGGCTAACCAAGTTTGATCCTCAGTTTCTGAAAAAAGTCCCTTCCTCAAAATTTTTTAGCAGAAATCTGGAATTAAACTGTACCTGCAGTGGCCATCCTGATTGCGTCAGAAACGAACCGACTGAACTAAGCCCTGCAAATCCTTAATTCACCACGGAAGGAAGCCAAAAAAACGCAAAGCTGAGAAGAGATCTCTCTTTCTTCTCTAATAATCGCAAAGAAGCAAAAGAATTCCAATAAGAGACAGATTTAGAGCGAATACGAACGTGTTGAGATGGAAAATTATGCGACTATTATAGGACGAACGCAGATGATGCAAAGGGTACTGTAGTCAGCAGAGCATGAAAATCGCAGCCTCTGTATTTGGCAGCAATTCAATTACCATTTTATCAGTGAAAAATTTTTGGCACTAAGTCAGTTTTGTGTAGTTTTCAGATAACCCCATATCTCCTCTTCCTATTAGATATCACCAGCGACTACTATCTGAACTTGGCGAATCATTTTGTCATTCACACTCGGTGAGTTTTCTCCTTTCATTTAGTTGTTTATTGTGACGATTTTTGACGCGCTATAGCTCGTGTCCGTTTTCCCATAACTTTTGAAGTTATTTTTTCATTTGAAACCATATGATCACTAACAACAAACATTACTATTTTCAGCCAAAGTACGCGCTTTGAAGAGTACACTTGTCGTAATCGCTGAAATTTTTGATCCAAAAATGAAACTTTTTGGGACTATTATTCCGCATTCACGACAATGTTGAAAATGATCATACACCTCCGCACACAAAACAGCTGTTTGAATATTAAAACCTGGAAACTTACTTAACTCACCATAGGGAAATCCCTCTTGACTCAATGATTTTTTTCGAAGGTTGCCTTTTGCTTTCAATGATTTCTGCTTCCTACTCATTTCCCACCTCTGCGTGGTTTTGAACCTCATTTTGATCAAATTTACATACTTCATAACCGATAACGCTGCCCATTAAATCTTCGACTTTCAGTTCTCTTCTAAAATCTCATGGAAGACGTTCTTAACATCGATAAGATCATTGGCGATCGCGGTTTTATGGCGTCTTCTAGTGATGACGAAGAGGATACTGTGCAATTATCCAAAGTCAAGACTTCATTAAGGTATGATGTATCCATGGTCCTTCAAGATGCTTATAAAAGTCGTGCAACATTGCTTGAAAAGCAAACTCGCACGCGCGCGTCGTAGATTCTGTGCACTTATTCGCCGAGTTTTCGGAAGGCGCTGTGAACGAAGAAAGAAATTCCGAAAATCTCCATATTTGTAATGAACTAATAATGTTTCACGCATTTTCATTTTCTCATCCAGATTTATTTCAGCAATCGTTTAGCCAATATTTTTGCTGAAGAGGCGACTTCGACACAATTTGCGCTCGAGCAAAGGGCTTCTCCGGAAAAGAGAAGGTCTCTTGACTCCTCTTCAACCACATTATTCTCAGCTGTGGTCAATCTCTACTTACGTGACAGCCCTACAACTCCTTTCGTACCGAAGGGGCGAGTTGGAGCAGCTGTAATTAGGAATAGTACGTTGGTAAGATCTTCATCCCAACTAATAACGGGCAATTTTTTGTATTTTATTCCCAGTGTGTTTTGAGATGAATTTGTAACACGCTTCAGCACACTACAAGCTAGCAGTCTTACTTGCATCTCTACTTGCATTAATAACAGTTCTCATATTATGGTTGATCAGATTTCGATCATAATTAAGGGATCGTTCAGACCGCGCCTGTGCCCGCCCAAATACGCCCAAATACGCCCGAATACGTCCAAATACGCCCAAATACGTCCAAATACGCCCAAACCCGCCCGAACGCCGAAACTGCCAATGCGCAGCAAATTGCATGCAAATTGGCATATTGGAGCACGCGTGGAATACTGCGTGCGTGGTGCATATATGGTAGCCACACGTAGCTCGACGTTACATACCGATACATACATACCGTTTCCAAGCACGCTGATTACGAATATCGCACTCGTTGCGCACGATATAGCGAATGAACTTAGCTTTAAGAGAAAAAAGTAAATTATCGATTGAATCCTAATTACATGAGATCAGTTGGCGCTATTCCACACTAGTTGACTAAAAAAATGAAGTAGCGGATTTCGACGATACTTAGTTTGGGGGATGAAGACTCGAATTTGCTCAAAACCTTGCCTGAAGGGGTTCTTAAGCATGCTGATTGCAGATATCATGCTCGTTCGCTGCAACAATGCCTAACTGTTAGAGTTACAATGCGTGAAAAAAGCAACTTTTCCGTTTTTCAGCCAAACTAAGATTCCGGAAATCCACGAAAAGGCTATATCGTGCGCAACGAGTGCGATATTCGTAATCAGCGTGCTTGGAAACGGTATGTATGTATCGGTATGTAACGTCGAGCTACGTGTGGCTACCATATACACCACGCACGCAGTATTCCACGCGTGCTCCAATATGCCAATTTGCATGCAATTTGCTGCGCATTGGCAGTTTCGGCGTTCGGGCGTATTCGGACGTATTTGGGCGTATTTGGACGTATTCGGGCGTATTTGGGCGGGTACAGGCGCGGTCTGAACGATCCCTAAGGATGGCTGAACAGACATGTGCAATTGCACATATTACAGTCGAAAGCCGCTCGACCATAATTGAATACTTTAGTCAATGCAAAGAAATGCAGATAAAATGCTAGCTTGTTGTGCTGATGCGTGAGGCGGGAAGATTCAACAATCTATTTACCCAGACTTCCTTTACGACTATCGATTAGAAGGTCTAAACTGAGCAATTACCTATGCGGCAATTCATTCGAATCTTACTTGGCCGAAACAATCAGCTCGGGGTTTTAGTCCGTTACCGTACCGAGGGTTTTGATCAGTCTGCTTGAAAAAAAATATTGTACTGGACAAGGGTTCAAAGCGAATCTTTCTCTACGAATAATTTATAATTCACTATAACATGACATATTTTGTGAAGATGTTAGAACAAATCTCCTTTTCTTGATGATCCACATTCAGCTTTGGAATAAAACTAATTTGCCCTATGCACTTCAGGATCTTCTCGTGTTCTATACTGCAAACAAAAAAGCTCTGTTGGTCGTATCTCTTGGCTCTGGGAAAATAGCTAAAATTGAGAAAGATCAGCGATGTCGACTTGTGGTGTCTGCTTCTACGAGTTTCGCAATCACATTTGTAAAAAGCGAAGACGAATGTAAACTCACTGCCTTGGTAAATTTCTGTTTTTTTTTTGTTCTCTTTCTTCACATGATTTACAATTTTCAGCTCATGCTTCTGTGCTGTATAAACAGAGTAGATTTAGAAGAAGGAAGTGGTATTGAGGTGTATATAGGCTCTTCAGTACTGTATGAGGTTACACCTTTGATATACGACGGTGCTTCCATAAAGGTATGCAGGAATGCTCCTTAATTTGAATTTCACTGAATGAAGTTTAGATATGCGCAGATGAACAGTCCAAGCTGCGCTTATCGCCCAAATCTGAACCTTGGGTCTTACAAACCGTTGGAATGAAAAAATCAGGAAAACGCTTGCTTCGAAAAGACGACAAAAGTGTAGTGTTGATCCATGTTAAGAAAATAAAGCAACATAGGTAAACATTTGGTTTTCAAGTTAATAGACCTAAATCATAATTGAAGTATTCTAGAGCAGCGGATGACTCTAGCGCAGCCTCTCTTGTCTCTGTTACACAACGCTTGACGGTTAATGAAAATTTTGATGAGCCGAAAGTGAGTTTGAATACTTTGTCTCCTCTCCATTTTCGTATTTCTTATATTGTCAGTGATTTACTGCCATTTTCGTTGCAAAGCGTCCTTTCTCATATGGCTTAGGTAGAATTCCCGCAAAATAGGCGAGATGTTAGATTTTAGAGGAATTTTTTCCATGGAATCATTTTTTGTCTGGTTTCAGTGTGGCAAAGATCCGCCAATACTGTCATTTTTGATGTCGCCTTGTATTCACATGATTTAATTTGCAGGAACAACGACGTGAGATTCTGCCTCAACGCGCTTCTCTTGAAAAAGTTGTTCTACCTGATGAAATCTTATTAGCGAGCGAAACCTTATCTTCAAAAAGTGGTAAAATCTATGCGTCTAATGGTGTACAAAGTGTCTGATGACCTAAATTCCCACAACTTTTTTCAGGTAGTATATCACCTCCACCTGTCAAATTATCTTCTGAACCAACTGCATATGCTGAACCTTCGGTGTCTTGCGAAATTGAAGACGATCGCCCCGAAAGATCGTCATTACGCCAGACGATGAAAGAACAACAGCAAGGACAAGTGCGTCACATGCATTTCTTATTGCATTTCTTTTCTTATTCTACTCTGGAAAGCTATTTCATGGATGCGCATAGGTCATTCACAATTTCAGGCAGGAGCAGTGAGCTTGTCAGCTGATGGCATTTTGAATGTACAAAAGATTATTGGAGCAGAAATTGATCGATTAGAGATACGTCTTGTAGCGGCGTTGGAACGAATGGTAGATAGACAGATGAGCTCTTTAAGGGGAGAGGTAAGCGGAGAGAAGAAGCTCAGTGCTCGTTCAAAATATATTGATTTAGATGCAAGAAATCAAGGAACGGCAAGAGACACTGCTGAAGAAACTGGAAGAGTCGCAACGAAATAGGGAGGAAAGTACCGGTTCATGATATTCTGTGATATGTTCTACAGGCCAGAATGAAGCATTTTATCGGGTTGAGTATGAGATCGAATAACACAGGGTACAATAAGCGAAAAGAACGTACAAAGTATAAAATTATGAAGGCAATGAAAACAGAAACAAATAAAGAATTGGCGAGAATTTGGCTGCTCACACAGTGATAGCTGAAGCGGCTTCGATTTGTGCCTTGGCATCGGTTAGCTCCTGGCATTCTTCCAAAGAATTCTCGTCGAGCATTTTCTGAAGAGCTGCTGTGGCCGTCATACAACGTCGAGCCGTGTCACCGATCATACCACGAGTTTCCTGGAAACAAAATGAAATAAGAATGAAAGTCCAAAACCAAAAAAAATTAATTAAGTATTGGTATGTAATCTATATAAGTGGTTAATGATAATACCTGTAGGACCTGACCGGCTTTCTTCACAGCGTATTCGTCGTCCTCATTTTTAGCTTCGGCTTTCATTTTCTCAATCTTCTGCGTCTCCTTCTCAACTTCTTTTATATAGGAAGCATGTTCCTGATTATGAACTTATTTAATGATAATTGTACTTCTGCATTCAGTTACCTTAATCAAGCGTTTCACCACACCGGTTTGTATCTTGATTTGCTTGAGAACGGCAGGATCGGCCATGCTTCAACGACTCTTCTGGAAGGAACAAAAAAAGATCGATACCTACAGAAAAAAACGAGCATTGATGGGATTACTGGTGAGAACCTCGTGAGAGACATATAGGAATCTGATATCAGAAGAAATAGACACGACGCTCAGGCACATCAAACACTCGGTATGAGTCACAGACACGTTTTCCGGCGTCATTACCAGAAGATTAGCCAAGTGTATACATTGTTTTTGCGCGCTGCAGTCGTAGGAATCTCATGAAGAATATTCATGCTAGTCGCTAAGCCTACATTCGGTTGTCGAGTCCGATTTTTTATTTTTTTTTCCGAATCACTGCCTAAGCAGCTTATATCTCGTCCAGACCGTACTATTTTGTAGCGATTAGTGTCTTCGATAAGATCTGGGCGAAGATGGGATTGAGATGCTCGCCAACAAATGGATGAGCGGCCTTGAGCTATGGCTTGGCTGAGGCTTCCTATTTTTATGCAGCGAATGCAACACAAATTGCCTGAACATTGCTTTGAGGCTGCCTTCACCATAGGGCACTTTTTCAATATTCGAGGGCTCGAAAAATGCACACGAAGGGCAAGTCATTAGTGCAAAAAGTCTCATTGACTGAGCGATAGTAGCGTCCAGAGCGAAAAGTTTGGCTCACAAAGCGAGATGCATTCATATGTAGGTTGTTGGGTTATGTGATGATTTGAACGAAAAGAAAGAAGACAACGGTGAGAAAGTCTGACAAGGGAAGGAAGGTTGGTCGAAGTGGCCTATTGAAATGAGGTGTATACCTCCTTGTAGAGCTTAGAACGCTGATTCCAAACCTATCTTTGCTATCTGCTGCGGGCTTCTGGTCGAGGAGTTATGAAAGTTTTTGTGATTAAAAATCTGAATGCAAAAATAGGGTAAAATCAGTCGTAACCTTTCCCAATGTTCAAATGAGGCAGCAGCGAACTGGTATATTTGAATCAAATATATCTGTTGCACCGAGTGACCCGACTACCAATTAAGCCCTATAAAAAAATGTTAGACTGATTTTAGCCTACTCTTGCATCCAGATTTTTACTCACGAAAACCTTCATAACTTCTTGTCCAGATGCCCGCAGCAGATAGCAAAGGTAGATTTGGAATCAGCGTTCCAAGCTCTACAAGGCAGTATACACCTCATTTCAAAAGGCCACTTCGACCAACCTTCCTTTCCTTGTGAGTTACCAGCACTTGGCAAAGGTATATAGCACTCGCTTTTATTTGTATGGTTAATTTTCTTGAGATTCTACCATGGACCGCGTAAAGGACCCTTGACATTATGCGAATACCCCTGCATGTAGACAGACAAGGTGACAAAAGATATCAGAAGTCAACAGTGGACAAAATATGTGCGAGCCCAATCATTTTCATGAAAGAAAACTGAACAAAATTTACTTCTCAAGTGGTCAAAAAGTAAAGTTGTCATGGTTACCACGACAAATAACGACCTAATTCATTGTTGAAGGTAGGCGCTGTACGAAGGGAAAAGGTGGAAAATGAAGAAAGATACTATCTAGAGGGATCGATGAGCAGACGAACCGATAAGAAGATTTCACAACTCGGAACATGACTTTGAAATGCATGAAAACGGCTGCGGACAGCCGAACTGTCATTGCTGTTCTGCAGTTGTACGTTTGACACGCGCAAAACTACGGACCAAAAAACAGCCGCCGCATGTTTTTCCATTTGTCCTTTCGTAAATGAATGTTTTAGTGGTTTCTTCTTATTGACATTGGTTGTTTAGATGGTGCAAGCAGATGAAAATTCCAAGGAAGATGTAGAGGCAATGATACGCAAGTATGAGGTAAAATGATGAGATGTTAATTGCTTTTGGTACAAAAACAGACTTTCTTTAGCAAAGAAGGCAGCAGATTTTGGAAGAGGAACAGAAACGGAAAAAGGAGGGCATGAATTTCTCTTCAGATGAAGACGATATTGCGGATGAGATGTTTCTTTCAGCAGCACAAAGAAGAAAAGAAAAAGTGAGTGAGACAATAACTGATCTTGTTTTTCCTGTTACTTCACTAATCAACGAGAGTAAGGGGAAAGCGAAGAGAACAGTGAAAGTCGTGAAGGAACTATGGTGTTGATTTCCAGATGCATCGGCGAGCCTTGCTGAAGCATGTGCTTGCTCCAACATCCGCTCAGCAAGAAGAGGAAATGTTAGCGAAAAGGCGCAGACAAGAAGAAGAGAAGAAAACTGAGGAATCAAGAAAAACTCTCTTGGAAAAGCATGCAGAGCTAAAAGAGCAGGATGCTAGTGAGTCAACAACAATCTGTCGTCTCGAATTTTCTTTACTTTCTGCGTTTGAAAACTTCGTTTTTGTGGCTGATTCGGTGGAAGATTATCCTGTTCCATTTTCTCCTTCTTTGAGTTTTTGAATTCTAGGCATCGACCCAAGAGAGAAGCAAAGGTTGGAAGAAGAGAGTCTTTTGGAAAGCGTCACTCAAAACAGTGCACTTCATGCTGCAGTCGAAATCGCGCATGGAGTTCAGTATACTGAATCTTTCAAAACATCGTAAGCTCCGAAGCAATTGACATATATGATAAACTAGCTGGCTTACCCGGCTCCGCCGTATCCGGACCAAACTTGGCACACATACACTTCGGGCCCCGGCGGGTGTCACAGTCCACTTTTCGTTATCGATCGATGTCGATTTTACCGATTTTTATCGATTTTTTTGCAGAGTTCACCTACAGGGCTAGGAGTTGGCACAGGGGGGGAAGTGAGCATGGAGATTCCGAATACAATATTAGTTTTCAGAATCATCGATTACTTTTGTTGATTTTATCGATTTTTTTGCAAAGTTTGACATGCGAGGCTGGGATTTTGCACAGGGGGGTAATCGAGCATGCTGATTACGAACACAATATTAGTTTTCAGGATCGTCCATTACTTTTATCGATTTTACCGATTTTTTTGTAAAGTTTGAGCTACGGGGCTGGGATTTTGCACAGGGGGGTAATCGAGCATGCTGATTACGAACACAATATTAGTTTTCAGGATCGTCCATTACTTTTATCGATTTTACCGATTTTTTTGTAAAGTTTGAGCTACGGGGCTGGGATTTTGCACAGGGGGGTAATCGAGCATGCTGATTACGAACACAATATTAGTTTTCAGGATCGTCCATTACTTTTATCGATTTTATCGATTTTTTGAAAATTTGAGCTAGGGGGCTGGAATTTGGCACAGGGGCGTAATCGAGCATGCTGATCACCCCCCTTGGGGATGATCAGCATGCTCGATTACCCCCCTGTGCCAACTCCCAGCCCCCTAGCTCAAACTTTGCAAAAAAATCGATAAAATCGATAAAAGTAATCGATAATCCTGAAAACCAATATTGTATTCGGAATCCCCATGCTCGATTACCCCCCTGTGCCAACTCCCAGCCCCCTAGCTCAAACTTTGCAAAAAAATCGATAAAATCGATAAAAGTAATCGATAATCCCGAAAACCAATATTGTATTCGGAATCCCCATGCTCGATTACCCCCCTGTGCGAACTCCCAGCCCCGTAGCTCAAACTTTGCAAAAAAATCGATAAAATCGATAAAAGTAATCGATAATCCTGAAAACCAATATTGTATTCGGAATCCCCATACTCGATTACCCCCCTGTGCCAACTCTCAGCCCCGTAGGTGAACTCAGCAAAAAAATCGATAAAAATCGATAAAATCGATATCGATCGATGACGAAAAGTAGCCTATGACACGCGCCGGGGCCCGAAGTGTATGTGTGCCAAGTTTGGTCCGGATCGGTTCAGAAATGGAATTTTCTATTCGGAACATACGTACACACAGACAGACAGACAGACAGACAGACATACAGACAGACAAACAGACATTCAGCTTTATATATAAGATAGCACTACGAAGTCACTTTTCAGTTGGCGACCACCATCCCATATACGCAATCAGTCTGAAGAGGATTTTGATGCTTTCAGAAAAAGAAGAGGAATTACTGCTGAGGGATTAGATGTCCCTCCGCCCATTGGAAGTTTTTTGGTTCGTTTTCCTTCCAACCACTATGATATCATGAAGGTGTCCTTGTTTATTCAGCTTATGTTTGTTTTAATCTCGCGATTTTCTCATAGTTTCTCGGTTTTTCTTTCAAGGAGATGAAATTTCCAAAACCCATACTTCTTGCTCTCAAGGACAAGGATATCTATATTCCAACCGCCATTCAAATGCAGGGAATTCCAGTAGCGTGGGTCTTTTCTTCACTTGTGCGAGACGATCGACCTGCATTATCTGCTTTCAGACTTTCTGGACGTGACATGATTGGTATCGCTTCTACGGGCTCTGGAAAAACTATTACATTTGCGTTGCCGATGATAATGTTCTGCTTGGAGCAAGAATATGTGTTACCGTTTGAACGTGGTGAAGGACCATATGCCCTAATTATTGTACCCTCCGTATGTATCAGTCAGCTTTCTTATACCTTGCGAATAAGGATTTACTTTCAGCGCGAGTTGGCAAGGCAAATCTATGACGTGATTATGGAGATCTTGCAATGGTTAGAAAAAGATCACAAAATGCCTAAGATTCGAGCTGGACTCTGCATCGGAGGAGAACCGATTCGGGAACAAGCACAAGTGTTCAAAGAGTGAGTTTTCTTTTTTAATACTTCATACTCGTATTTTATGTTTTCTTACGCTTATTTTCAGGGGAGTTCACATCTGCGTTGCTACGCCAGGTCGATTATCAGATATGCTTACGAAAAAGATCTTTAATCTTGAGGTGAATGAACTTTTTTTCCTTCAGAAACATTTTGATTCAAAAATGCCATATAGATCTGCCGTTATCTGGTGCTTGATGAAGCTGATAGAATGTTGGACATGGGTTTCGAAGACGAGCTCAAGTCCATCTTTGCCTTCTTCAAGGTGAATCTCTCCTTCAAAATTTACAATGTTCAGTCATGCAAAACTTTTACTAGTTTAGGCTCAACGTCAAACTTTGCTTTTCTCAGCCACCATGCCGAAAAAGATTCAAAATTTTGCAAAATCGGCACTAGTGCGGCCAGTGGTATGTCTATCCTGCCCTGTTTTGGGTGTGTTGAGTCTAATTTGTGTTGAGTCTAATTTTCACTTTAACAGGTCGTAAACGTAGGAAGAGCAGGAGCGGCTTCTTTGAACGTATTGCAGGAGATTGAGTACGTAAGGACAGAAGACAAACTTACTAGGGTTTTGGAATGCCTTCAAAAGACACCACCCAAGTAAGAAAAGGCATTGCTAACATGAAGTTTGATTTCTATAACAAATTTCTAGAGTACTGATTTTTGCTGAGAAAAAGATGGATGTCGACAACATTTATGAATACCTTCTTGTCAAAGGCGTGGAAGTGGTGTCAATCCACGGTGGAAAAGGTATTTTTACCTCATTTAACGTTATTTCGTGACGTTTACATAGTTTGTCTGTTCAGATCAACGCGATCGACATAGCGGTATTGAAGAGTTTCGACACGGTCAAAAAGATGTGCTTGTGGCAACTGACGTTGCTTCCAAGGGTCTAGACTTTCAGGTAACCATTCAACATTATGAATGCTATGGTTCAGAGTTTCATCGCACTTTTCGCCGTTTGAAATAATCTCTTTTATTCCTTTGAAACTTCATTATGGTTTTTTCCAGTAGCAGAACTCTAAACTTCACTTTTTTTTTTTGAAACTGCAAATGTGTTATAGGGTATCGAACATGTCATCAATTATGACATGCCTGAAGACATTGAGAATTACGGTAAGCTGTTCCTTTCGTTGTTCACCATTGTAATATCCTCAATTTCTTGCATTTGCTATTTCTAGTCCATCGTATTGGGCGTACTGGACGATCGGGTAAACGTGGAATGGCAACAACGTTTATTAACAGGAAAGCAGGTAAAGCTTTGGAACTCTGCGTTTCCTAACAAAAAATGCTATCACGTGTTACAGATCTATCAGTGATGCAAGATTTGAAGCAGTTGCTGGTGGAAGCTGGACAAGAACTGCCCGCCTTCCTTCGCGATCTCGCCGGCGACACCGAAGAAGCATCTACCGGTCACGGCGACGATAAGGTTAATATCTAACTTTCGCAACCAAAGCTGTTACTGATTCGTAATCTCTAGGGTTGCGCTTATTGCTCCGGTCTCGGTCACAGGATCACAAATTGCCCGAAGTTGGCTGGCATCAACACCAAGGTACGCTATTTGTCGTATTCTATATATATTCATTAGCAGTTTCTAAAACTTGTTATGTGCCAATTCTCTAATCAGTGCTCGCCAAGATTCAATTAGATTGAACATTTTTGCTTAAATCTATCTATTCCATTAATCTATTTGAATTTTTTTTTCAAGGCTGCCCAAAATATGGCTCGTGCTGGTGGAGACGATGGGATGTATTAGAGGACGTTGTTGTAGAGATTCGCGTATGTGATATGTTTCTGACATTGATGACTGTCGACTTTGTACATATTCTTGATTGTGATCTCATAAATGAAATTTTTACAATTTTATAGACAAAGCAGGCTGACAAAAGAGGTTTCATGCCTCGAAAGCAGTCGCCTCCAGAAAAAAATTAGTAGCACCTGTACACAGGTGGAACGGTAGTAGGAAATTCTCCTAAAAAGGCCAGAAGGAGAAGGTGGGGGGAAGAGGGGGGGTATGACAAAAGTCTTCTGGGTAATGTAACGTAGCGGTATATCCATAGCTCTCAAAATTTTTTTTGAGATGCTTTGGATTTTTTTGCAAGCATGAGCCTAAAACTTCGAAAGAATGGGTGAAAATTCTTTCCCAGCTAGTTCAAGTTTAATGATTTTATTAGGTTGGTCCGAAAGTTCTTGCGCATCATCTCCAAAAAATCATAACTTCCTTGGCACTCGATGGATTTCGTTGTGATTATATCTATTCGAAATAGGAATCCATGCTCTTTACAGAAGTACCTCCGACATGAATTACTTTTGAAAGCTTCAAGAGTTAGAAGCAGTTTAATGAAATCGGTCAAGGTTGGCATTTTTCGAGTTGGGTCACGAAAAATTCTGGAAGTATTTTTATTCGATAGAGAAAATTATGCTCATTACAATGGTACCTTTTTCATGGATCAAAACGAAAAAGATCGAGAGTTAGGAGCAAATAAAGAGAATTTCTACAATCTTGCAATTTTTGAGCATGCTCAAAATAGCCTAAGAACGTCACAGAAAAGACGGAAATTTCATAAACATGGGTTTTGTGACCTTCTCTTTCTAGCTAAGGGATTTTTGTGCTAAGGGAGAGCAATTTTGTTTTTCGTGATTTTTCCGGATTTTCGGGCCTGCGTTTTTTCACGAAAATCAAAATTGCTCTCGATTAGCACGATTTTCATTCAGCTAGAAAGAGAAGGTCACAAAACCCATGTTCATGACTTTCCCGTATTTTCTGTGACGTTTTTAGGCTTTTTTTGAGCAAGCTCAAAAATTGCAAAATTGAAGAAATTCTATCTATTTGCTCCTAACTCTCGATCTTTTTCGTTTTAATTCATGAAAAAGGTACCATTGTAATGAGCATAATTATCTCTATCAAATGAAAATACTTCCAGAATCTTTCGTGACCCAGCTCGAAAAATGCCAATATTGACCGATTTCATTCAACTGCTTCTAACTCTTGAGATTTTCAAAAGTAGTTCATGCCGGAGGTACTTCTGTAAAGAGCATGGATTCCTCTTTCGAATAGATATAATCACAACGAAATCCATCGAGTGCCAAGGAAGTTATGATTTTTTGAAAATGGTGCGCAAGAACTTTCGGACCAACCTAATATAAAATAATTCAGTTGTAAAAAACATGTTACCCGTTATCATCGAAGCCCTTCAAATTTGGTGCTTTTAGGAAAAAAATTGCCTAGCCAGGATTTTGCAAAGAGAGAAGCTTGAAGACCTTTTCAAAGCTCATTATCTCTTCAGTTTCGAAATATAAAAAATTTACTGGAACATTTTGGTATTTGCTTGCTTAAAGAAATTTAAGCTAACAGCTACCAATGGCGGACCGAGGCCCCCCCCCCCGAGAATAGGTCGTGAAATTTTTGAAATTACTTACATGGGTCATAAAAATGTGCAACTTGTTCATTCTCTTGAATAAATAAAATGATCTTCAGAATTTTTCAAAAATTCAATTAAGCTTTGTAGAAAATTTTTTTGCGGGCGTGGTTACCGCCGCTATGGGCCAGCAAAGTATGAGAAGCAACCCAAGAAGTGTCATCATAAAAACCTGTACGGCATAAGAAAATCATTGTATTCGCCCTAAGAAATTTTTTGGAATGCGTGTTAAGTCCACACACCTTCATTCAAAGAATTTTTTTCTGCCCCTCCTCCTAGGACGGAGGTCCTGGGACCGCCCTGCAGCATAGGACAGCAAACCGATTCCTCAATCAATCTATTGGCAAAGTTCCACCACTCACATGCACTTTCTCCCCATTTACCGTATTTTCGCCGTAATCTCGATCATTTCCGCGAATTTTTACGCAAAAAATCGCATTGGACTTGAAGTTTCGCTAGATCAGTGTATCCGTGTCGTATATCCTGTTACCGAATCGCTTTCATCGTAGCGTGTGTCGCTTTCGTTTCACTCACGTGCGTCTAAGTTTCGGTTTTCTACGCTATTAGCGTGGAAATCGTGCAAATTGCGGCTGCAGACGATAGCTTCCGCATGTTTCTGGAAACTGGGCTGGCTGGTTAGGTGATTCAGGATGATCCTCGAAGTCTGCGAGATTCCCAGCATTTATGGCTCTCAGGTGGTCAATCATCTTTTGAGCAGGACTGAAATGGATCTAAACTATGATCGCAAGTTGAGCCAATTAAGCCTTTGCCAAATCCAATCATTTATATCACATTTGGTATGACGCCACATCGTATAAGATGCATTTCAATTTTGGAAGTTTGAAGTTTTCTAGAAATAATTTGTGGCATTAGAGATTCTTAGATGGGTAGAGGAACGAACACCTCAATTAGACGCCGCCTTCGCGGGCTACTGGTCCTAACACGATGCACAACGGTAGGACGAAAGGACCAGCGGCCCGCGGGGGCGGTGTCTGTTTGAGGCGTTCGTTCCCCTACCCGTAGCTACCGCCACATTACGGGTCGGCAAAATTTGAGCATATCATATTTGTGGCGTGCATTTTCGAATCCGCACTGCCTTGAGGCTAGCAATTTTCTTTTTTAAGATTCGCAAGGCATCAAAAATATCTTATTGTTAGCATTAGATATTTCGCAGGCACTTCTGCGATATATTAGGTGGGTCCAAAAGTTCTGTCGTTTCATTTTCAAAAATTTGTAACTTCGCGAAATTTTAACGCATTTGCTTGCTTTAAATTTTTTTTAGAAAGAAGAAGTCTTTCGCTTTCAGATAACGTTTTGCAGAACTTATGTTCCGCACCGCACTGAATGTGGAGATAAAAATGGAAAAGTAAGACCATATAAGGTTTGACCGTTTTAAGTTAAGTCACTAGAAATCTGGAAAGCTGCGAAAAAATCTGAAATCGTCAGTACATGTGTTTCTGGTCTACTCTTTGCAACTGTGAAGAACTTGTGCTGTTTGGACGTCTCTGTGAAAAGTTATGATTTTCGCAAAAATTGAATTAATCAATTTTGGAGTTTTCCATAGCAAACTCGATATTCATAACTTCTCACAGAGACGCCCAAAGAGAACAAGTTCTTCACAGTTGCAAAGAGTAGACCAAAAAACACATGTACTGACGATTTCAGGTTTCTGCATCATTCCAGAATTTTGGCGACCTAACTCAAAATGGCCAAAGCTTATATGGTGTTAGTTTTCCATTTTTTTCTCCGCACCCGGTTGAAATAGAACCTCCACAAAACAGCTTTTGAAAGCGAAAGACCTTTTTTTTCTAATAAAATACAAGCAAGCAAATCCACTGAAATAGCGCAACGTTATAAATTTTTGAAAATGAAACGACAGAACTTTCGGACCCACCTAATATAATACATATTAGGTTCCGAAAGTATAGGCGATTTATGCCTAGTTTCTTGTGATATAGAAATTTTCTCATAAAATTATGTGAAGTAATGAAAAGGTGGAAAAAACCGTTTGTATCGCGTAGGATTTGCTCAACTCTCGTTACTTAAATATCTTCGGCGGAACGATATAAAATTTTGGAAGTTGGTTGGGCCTGGCACAAACCTTGGTTCGCATTTTCTGGTGATTTTCTGGAAGCTCATTTGCTTAAACTGTTATGCAATCGTTTAACAAGGGATGAAAAGTTGTAGCGAATGCGGCCGAGATGTTTCAAGAATCTTTGGTTCTGCGGGATCTCAGGCTCGTATGAAAAAAAAGCGAAATTATTTTTGGAATGACCAGATATTAGGTGATAACATAAGCTTGCACCAAAATATCGAAAAAAATACAATTAAAATGCTCAGAGCACCGCTCCAGTCTGTACAGTATTTTTTAAATTCATATGATCTATCTGAGTAGCATTTTGTATACATCAGTAATTTTGATTTGAACAGTATCAAATCGAAAATGAAATATGATAATTGCAACTTCCTATATGGAGTCAAGTCCCGGCACGAGGTGGCTCCCAGAAAATGCAAAAGCGAAGTCCATCTTAACTTTCGAGAAATCTCACAAATCCCCTTTGACCCTAAACCCTAAACGTAAAAATAACCCAAATTCTGTTTTCGGCCACAAACACGATATGCCCTTTTACTTTTTGTCCCTAGAACAATGTCCAGCTTGCTCACAAGCCACCTGTAAAAATGCCAGATCGTAAAATTCACATAAAGTGAAACTAAAAATTTCTGGGCTTGTCAGCATTTCAGCGCTTCAGAGTTGGAAAACGCAGTTTGGATGTTTGTCTTTGATAGGTTTTCTCACCGCGATATAACATCTGTGATCTTTGTTTTAGAATATTTAGAGGGTGAAATCTTTCTTTAAAATTATATCATTCCGAAAGGATTTTCGCACCTGGAAGAGATTTCGGATTTTGAAATAAAATTTGGTGCAAAACTTATGTTCTAACCTAATATTTATCACAAATACGCCACCAGCACATATTTTCAATAATTTTCTTTTCTGATGACAAGACGTTTATACAAAATTATTCATTAGCGAAATCCTTCAAGAGTTTTGGACCATCCAGTCATGAGCCATTCGGAAAAATCACTCTGAGCTGATACTTCCATAAAGATACGAGCAACTAACACATTCAAGTTGGGGACTTTGAACTTACAGTGTTCCATTATATGTCTATACTCCCCCTATCGCCTTAGTGTTTTTGTGCTTTTTTTGAAAGAAATACCCGTAAAAGCTGAATAGCCTCTAAATTGCATGGAAAGTTTTGATGACGTAAGGTTATTTGCAGTTTTCACATCCTACACTACAAGTGAAAACACAAAGTACTTCAAAGGAGCCACTTGTGAATAGAATAACAAAAAATGCTATAACATCTGAAACTATTAGACTTTGGTCGTTTCTGAGCTCAAAATTTCGGGATCTGAAATTTTTTTTAGATAATCTTTGGAAAAAAAACAATTAAAAATACTCTAGAGTGAAACAGGCGAGCTCTGACTAGGAAAAAAAAATCAAATTGGCAAATCCCAACGCATTTTCTTCCCAGTTTCATTCAACAAAATAACTTTATTCCAATAACAGCGATACCCTCACAATATGCGATTTTGCAATTCTTATTAACCATAAGCAGAAAACGTGAACAGAAAATACAACAAATATTTCCCTAGCAATAAATATGCTTATTATCGTACATGAGATCGATATGATACATGAGCGTTTCTTAACAACCACCGATAGGATTTGTAAAGTGAAAAGTAGAGACAGATTAAGAGCATTACCAGTTTATGCCTTGAGTTATGGAAGCTTCTCGTCGGGAAGATAGAATTTCTAGTGGGAGAAGATATGGGCATCGCGATGCAGCACAACAGAAATATCACATTTTTCGCTTAGTTTCTGTATCAGTTGTCCTGGCTGGTAATGAATGGCAAGGACAAGAAGAATACAGTAACATGCACACAGAGCGAGCCCAACTTTATGGATGAGTATGAAGCAGCGTCCAGGGTCGTCCATGCCAACACTGTGCCAACGAGGTGCCAACGCCGTGCCAACGCTGTGCCAATTAGTGCCAATGCTGTGCCAACCTAATGCTGGCCCTGTGTGCAAGAATCCACGTAAGTTCGCCCCGCACTGATCAATGGACGTGGTAGGCGTTGGAACGGCGCTGGCACGGTGCTGGCACGAGCAACTCTGAACGCAACCAAGGAGTGTCCCGCGATGTAGAGCCAATATCCATTCCTTTGGTGTTTTGCACCCCCTCCGATGTCGTCGATTAGGTTCCAAAATCTTCAGGGAACGCCATACGAATTCTTCAAGGCCATGGCCAATATGGTTTTGTAAGAAGTAAATGCTTATTTCGACGTGCTTTCGCCTCTTCTTTGGAGGCTAAACTGCGACGGCGATGTTTATGACGGTAATGGTGCTGAAACGTGAAATTCATAGATAATTTTAACAGATTCAGGAAATGTGCCGGAACTCAGAAATAGCTGGAAAAACGAACTTTTCTGTGTCGATGATGAATCACAGTCGGCGTTGTTGTCTCTGTATCATCTTTTGTAAGCGAGAATCTATCAAAGAATGGAAATGCATCAGTTGACGTGACCAGGAACAGAAACGCTAGAATAATCCTGAAATACGAGAAAACGCGTTTTGAATTACGTTTTAAGCGTTTTAAGAACCTAAGGAGGGGGGGGGGGAAGAAGAAGAGGATGAAAAGAAAGGGCAATGATGACGGCATCTTTTGAGTGCTTGTCTGATTGCTTTTTTTCCGTGAAATTTTCGAGATATTGATTGTAAAAGGTTTTCTTTTTCACTTAAATCAATGCAATATTCTATATCGCCGTTAAAATTACAAAACTATGACGATTGAAGTTTCAAAGCTCTACATCTTCCCCAAAGATGAGGCCAGTACCCGGACGATCTATGACCAAGAACGCCTGATCAGGTGATTGCCCCCCTCTCCCCCGTTCCCGGATATCCTAACCAACTCAGCTGCTATAGGAACAGGAAAACCTCTAATTGAAGTGAAAAGGAAACGCTTCGTAGGATTGACCTCATAACCCGAAATTTCGGCTTCGCCCGTTCCGATTGCGCGATTTCGCCGCGATTTCTTTTGGAAAAGATTACGGTCTTAGCTCGGGAAGAACGCGATGTTAGAACACTTCTTTTTGCTGTGACTTTGCTCATAATCCAGGGACAATATTTTAAAAGTCAGGGAAAAACTCACCAAATAAACTTCATCCCAAGTTGATTGACCAACGAGTATTCAAGGCTCTCGTAATATCTGAAATTTCAAATTATTTAAGGAGAACAATGGTTTGACGGACAAATAAGGCACTAAAAATCCAGAAAAAAATTATAGAACATAGGAGAGATGCAACTATCAAAGAAAACAGAAGTGAATTTATCAGATGATTCGCAGCATACATTTTTTCGAAAGGAGAAAAATTTGAATTAACCGAAATGTAACGTCTAATTTTCCCCAAAAATGAAGATTAATAGTTTTTTCCTAATCAGAAGAAATTCCCTTAACCGTCTCTGCCAAGAAATTCAAAATATGAAAGAGTGGAGAAAATTGCCTTTTTTCTTCCTTATACGGATGTCCAAGGGATGTAAAAGAGAATCTGAGCTCATTAAAGTCACAATTAAAAAACATCATCCTGAAGCGCTGAGAAGGTAACGTCCTATTTACTTTTTCCTCTCTGGGCGATTAGATAGGTACTAAAATGGATTTTGAACCAAGGCCGAAATTTTGCTATCGTAATTTGAGAATAAGTCCAGACACATTCAGAATGACGTCTGTTTTAGAATTCTGAATCCAGCACAGGGAGTGCAATGCAAAGGTGGAGCCTGACTTTTTATAGTAGTTGCAAGAATTCCATAGGTGCAGATGTGGCCACGCACTGACGTAATTCCATTCAAGGGCATAAGAAAAATAAAACAAACAAAAGCATATGAAATCCACGGGCTTCCGCTCATTAAGTGTGGCAAATAAATGAAAAATGCCAAGAATAGGCCCAAAACTATGAACCCAAGGAACCCTGTCGCGCAATCCGTCCACACCTACGCGCGCCAACAGGGAACGACCGAACGCCTCAAACGAGCAGCAGTAGCAGCCACAGGTGAAAGTGTGATCCAGCATCGGGCGCAGGTATAAATCACACACAGTCACTCCCTAGAATCAAGGGCGGAGTTGACCCGAAATAGCTGCGCATCGACTAAGACGTCGTTCTCTAGTCACACGCTCGCCCCTAGCCCCCCTCCCCCCCCCCCCTGCGCACCTGTACAGCCCGAGGGCGCGCGCGCGTTTACGCGAACGCCATCGGAGTGCGGTGGCGCTGCTGCGGTGGTGGAACCGGTGAGTGATGATGTGTTATGGACGACGATGATTTGATCAGCGAAAGCGATCCGAGAATCGAAAATACGATACGCGCCGAACATGATCGGCGTTCGTGGTTATGAGTTTATCAGAGATTTACGCGCAGATTTTGATTAGGCTTTGGTAGAATAAGGTAAATTTACCAACAAGGTAAAAGAGAGCACTAGAAAGAGATATGATAGCTGGTAATCATAGTAGTTTCTTGAGAAAGATGTTTTCCAGGTCAATTTCCTCCTAGACTCACCGGAACTTTGGCAAGGCAAAAAAGTTGCCAAACTTCGCGGAACTCATTACTTTTTGGGTCGCAAAACGGTAATTGAAACGCTTATCCAGAAAATCAAACAGTTGCACACCTGAAAGAAAGCTAAAATGCTAACCGCTTTCGCTCTCTATCCAAGATCGATGATGAATAGCACTTTTCCTAGCTCTGAGTTTTGAAAATCATCCATGACCCCGTTGGGGGGGGGGGGGGGGGTAGGGGAGGGGGAAGAAGCCTATATTTGACAACATTGGCATTCGCAAAACCAAAGCGAAGGAGACAAATGATCCAATAGATTATATCTTAAGCTTTTATTCATACCAGTTACCCCCTGAACTTAGGAACTTCCGCAGGACAAAGAGACGGTTGTCGGACTCATCAACTATCGAATAGGAAACATGGAAAATCAAACTCTTTCTTATGAAGGTCCGATTCTAGAATACTGTTTAGATTTTTTCAAGGTCGAACGCGAGCAGCATCTCCCCTTCAATTTTTAGGTACCGTAGCTTAACCGTATAAAATCCAATGGAGAGCGGAAGGAGGGGGGGAGGGGGAGGGGGGCGGGGGTGGAGGTGTAATGCAATGGTATTGGCATATGGCACGGAAAAAGTGGCCTTCCCTACATTGTAGTTGGAAACATGGGATCTGACGGATTACATTTCATGCTTTGTATTTCCATTATAATTTCTTTCCAAGCTTTCGGAACTTTCGCAAGACAAAAAATCGGCCAAATTTCAGCAGGATCCAATAATTTTCGAACAGTATACAAACCAAACGAGTTTCTAGAAATATAAGATAGTGAGACTCTCAAAAATTAATAAGCATACTATCCACTTTCAGTCCTTTTTCAAAATTACGGCGGGTAGCACTTCCTTCATGGTTTTTTAAGTTAGCTGAGCCATCGGCGCAGAGGGGGGAGGGCGATGTGTTAGCATTGCGAAAGAGATTCTAGCAGGTTTGGCATTCTTTACTTGGGGACAAGTTACCTGACAGACAACATTTTATGCTGCCTGGACCACAATAATTTCCCGAATTTATGGGAATTCCGCAAGATACTGCCAAACTTCCGCGGCATTTGAATTGTTTCTATAAAAACTGAACAAACAGTACGATAAGGCAAGTTAGAATACTAAGAGGACCGATAACACTCGTCTATCGAAACTTATTGTACAATTAACAGAGAGATCCAAATAATTCTCGACAGCGAGGAGCTTTTAACGTGGAAATTTTTTTCCTATTCAGCACTTATACTGTATGAATACCGAATAGATTGACAAAAAAACAGATGATATCTACCAAATGGACAATAGTAAAAATTTATTACAAGCAAAAATTTTGAGAAACAAAAATCTAACTATTGAAACAAACGGGTTGATTTTTCAGTCTATTTCCTGAGAGAACATTTTTTTGTATCCCAAAAAGTCAAATATTTCTTCAAATACAAAGAGAAAGTTCTGGTAAATTCAAGAAAGGAATGATGGTTGCAAAAGCAGAAGGGAACACTTACTAGAATTACAAAAATAAATAATCGGTCGCATTGTAATGCACTTTTCTTTTATTGGCAGATATTTTTTTCATTTATTCATTTCTTTTGTCAAGTAGAAATCCCCAAATGTTACGGGAACGCAGGAGTAACCTTTGATTCAACTGGATTGGCGGCTGGAAGGCGTGGCTTTGTGACTCAATTGAAGCCGCTCACGTCCGCAAAGTAGTCCGCGTCTCTCTCTTTGCGCTTGCTCTCTGAACACTCTCTAACCTTAATTAGGTCACGAAGCCCCGCCTTCCAGCGGCCAAGCCAGTTCAATTAGAGGGTGAACATATTAATTATCGAGCCTTCAGTTTCATACCGGTAAGTTCAGGTGAAATGTTTTGATTTACTTGAATAATATAGTCTGATATGAAGAACCAAATAAAATTTTCTTTCCGAAAATTGTATGATTTCTTGGATTCATCACAGACATTCTGATGCCATAAATATGCACTTATTCTAATTTTAGATAATAGAACAATCTTTATTTAGAATCGGAAACATAAATAGACGAAAAAGACTGATTTTTATGGATTTTCTGTGACTGCGTAGGACATAGCGTACACTGAGACTAGAAAAAAGTGCAACAAGATGGCTTTTTGCAAGATTTATAAATTCTCATAAGCAATTTGCATTGACGACATAGCACGTTAGCATTTTTTCATAGAATACATTAGAATCTATAACAATGAATACAAATCATGTGGCTTGTGCTAATGCAATATTCAGACAATATGAACGATAAAAATTCTTTAGCGAGAACATTCTAGAAACGTTACATCGCCTTTGCATTCATAGAATGTATAACCTTTTGCTCTGAAGGTCATTCGGGGTTGATCATCACAACAAAAAGTACAGGGAAGAATGTTTTCTGACAATAAAGGAGTCCTGACTAGATGGGGTGCATAAGTGCAGTTTGTTGCTAATTCTTGGATCACATAAAGAAAAATTCGGACGGATGCAAGGCGCAAAAATGAGATAAATTAAAGTTGAAGAATACCTGGACACTACTTTTTAAATTTTTTATCTTTTGATAGTTATATTTTTAATTTCAGTTTTTAGTCCCTAGCCCCGAAACTGGATGGTGTAAAAATAAGTACAAAAATATTATTAACCCTTTCGTGATCGTTATCATTCTACCTTTGCAACTCAGATCTCTTTCCAGGGCTCGGCACGAGGTGGCTAGATGAAAATGGAAAAAACGAAGTCCCCCTTGACTTTTGGGTATTTTTACGAAGTCCCCTTTGACCCTCAACCAAATTTCCTCTAAAAACCTGAAAAATTCCCCAAAATCCCCCAAAAAACGAAACGTCGACTAAAACAAAAAAGGTCGCCGTCGCCAATTTTCCGTGTCTCTTCGGTCACAAAAACGAAACCCCCTTTGCTTTTCGTCCCAAAAACGATATCCAGCTTGCTTGTAAGCCACCTCGTGCCGAGCCCTGTCTCTTTCCAAGGCAGAAGTAAAATAAAGTTAAAGGAAAGCTGAATACTATTTGCCTTTTTGTAAAAAATTTACAACGTTCAACGGTCATTCCAATCTGATGTTGAGTTTACAATGAAAATAAACTTTCAAAAATCAATAGAAGAAACAATATCAAGGAAATTAAAAAATATCATAAAAAATCAGATGGATGCTAGTACCCATTAGTAACTTCACATCCAGAAATGAATTTTAAATCATAAAATTAACTAACATAAAAGTAACTTCACATCCAGAAATGAATTTTAAATCATTATATAAATATGCTGACGATTACCCAAACATGCAGAAATTTCTAATCTAAACAAATAATCAAAGACAGGGTCGGTCATGTGCCCTAAAAATTTTTTCCTATTTTCATAAATTCAATGGGCGGTGAGTTAGTTTCGCAATCGCTCTTATGAATTATTTTTGTGAATTTTTCTCCGCCTTTGTTCAAATTAATGCCGTCCAAAAGTTGAGTTTAAACAACTTTACTATTGAAGAGGGAACAGTATATGTAAGATTCAACTTATCAAGGAGATAAAATTTTAGTTAATTGACCTATAATTTACCGTAGCAAGACCGGTCTTTACAGCATATCTACATGAGTTGATTTAATTTGTACTTTATCAGACTGTAACATTGCGAATCCGATGGAATTT